TCCCTACAACACATCTCAGACCTGACCATTTACCGCCTACCTACTTTCCAGCCTTCACAAGATTCCCTACCTACTCTCAACCATCACTTGTTTTTAACCCGCACCCTTCTGAACCGATCAAACACCCAAATTCGATTATCTCTACATGGCTTGCACGGGATGGACGCAGAGTTACGCGGAACAAGGCCATGTGGTTCCGCACCCGGCGGGGATATACGGGCATTGGGAGTGTGGGAGTTCGAGGTAGAGATTTGGCTGCTTGTAGTGCTGCCTCTAGTAAGGGTGTGTCCGCAGAGGAAAGTGATGGTGACTTGACGAATGGGGATGGCGTTTGGGATGGCGTTGGTGGACATTTTGTAGACTTGTAGTTGGAAATCCGGGTATAGCTGAAGTTTAAAAGGAGTGCGAAGATTAACAGATAGTAGAGTAGGACTGGGAAGGGGGTAATTCTTGAGGCTTTATACTCGACTTCGTGGGAATAAATGTTTGTGTGGCGGATGGAGAAAAAGGCGTATGATGCATTGTCGACTGGAGAAACTAGAGTGATTAGCGGTATTTCTACTACACAAATAATCTCAAGTGTTGGTAGGACATGGGCTTAGGATGATGCTGAGACTGCAGACGGTAAACTTGTGAGTTTTGGGCTTGAGGCCATCACCGTATTACGAGACTGTAGCTTGAGCTCATCGCAGGAGTTTAACTGTACTATAAGCCATAGAATTCAAGAGGTCTAACCACGTTAACTTTCTTTACCTTTCCAGTGCTTCGTTATTAAGAGGGGTTCATCTGTGACGCATACGCCGTGGCTAAGGGAGTGTTCTCCTTGTAATCAAGAACGAAGGTGGTAGCGAGGTGATAGAGATCAAGAAGGACGCCGAGCACGGCACGGTGAGGTGTTTCTGGACAGTGAGATGATGCACTCAATGCTCAACATCGTAAAGAACTTGAATTACCTCTACACTGGTTTATGGTGGGTGCAAAAGCATGAAATACTGAACTCAAAAGCAAAAAAAATACCCCGCCAGGGACTCGTACCCTACCTAGTCTGCGGCACGATGTATAGGTAGTCGATAGCGTTTGCGAGTAACCGCCGTGTTGAACCGCTATACTAGCGGGGTGTTATTTCCTTTATTAATGAATAAAAGAAACGGGAAATTTGTAAAAGGTGCCCGGTTAGGTGGTTTTGTGTGTCTATGTACGGTAAAGAAGGAAGGCGCGGGCTTGCTTGACTCTATGTGGTTGGTCTGCGGTCTGCGGACGGTTTGATGAGGAAGGAATGGCGGAAGCTACAAGGTTTTGGGAGCTGCCTGGATCCTATAATGTCGATAACGATGTTGCAGTTGCTGTCTGCTTGGTTTCTGGACTCTCGGTGAGCAACAGATTTTGTTTCGGAGTCGGAAGATTGAACGGCAGATTTCTTCGTTATAAATCCTCTTTTCGACGACACCTTCAAGCTTTTTCTAAGATGAACGGTCAAATAGTTCATGATGGTAGGTACATTTCTGTATTGGCTATCGTTGATCGCCGAACTTATATAGGTAGTGTACCGCAACGTCACGAGATTTCCAGCCCCTTCTCTACAAAGTACGCTGATTCTCGGTCATGTATTCTTCACATTTTGCCCAGTTCTTTTCCTTGAAGCGGGTGGTCAGACTATCTCAAGCTACCCCAAGGTACCCTGGTCTCAGTGGGTTCGAACCTCACTACTTCCCTAAATTCTCCTATCAACATAGTCTTCTGGCGGCACAGAACATGGACAATCGCCATATCTGTTATATCCCCGTACTGTGAGGGCAGCATGACAGAACGACCTTTAGCGAGCTGAAGCGTTTAGCTAATAGTAAAGTTGAGATGGAATGTGAAGGCTGGAAGGTTCGAAACACATTACTGTACCTCTACGTGACAAGTTTGGGCCGTGTCTGGAACCAATTGTCCAGGTCTGAGGCAGTGAACAAACGATTGTAGCGGCCCAGACTCTTGACCGCTCAACTCCAAGGGTATTTCTACCTACCTATTTACCTCTACATGTACCTCTAGTCACCTGCAGTTGTAGGCACGGATAATAAGAAGGGCGAAGTTGGAAGTCCGTGCCCTAGCTGCCCAAGGCAAGGTAGAGAGAGGTACCTAGAGGTATTCACTGAGGTGGGCTTCCTATTCAGCGGCATTTTATTGCCGGTACTTCCACTTTGGCTGCCTGCGGCTTTTCTCCTACTTTCCTCTTCCGTTCGTGCGCGAGGATCAAGAACTTTTCTAACACGCGTCTTCACCTTCAACAAACGACCACTAAAACTACACTCACACACAAGCCCCTCAACTAAATTCGTATTTGCAGGACGTAGACTTCTTGTGCTCGTTTCTCCTGGTCACTATCTTCCACCAGTAACAACTTCTTTACACGCATTTGGTCTGTCTGCGGCATCAACAGCGATTCAGTCTTCTCGTCCGCGCAAAGAAATCAGCCGCGACACTGAAATATCAGTAATCACTGCCCGGCCTGGCACTAACCAGAACATCGTCAACCACTCGCTGGTCATCTGTCGGGGGCGTAATCTCCATATACAACTACATAGAGGTATACCTCCACACGCCTCCATATCTCTACATCTACCTCTACTGACTACTAGTCCTCTAGGCCGTGTTCATTGTGACAGTAGTACAGTAGCGGAAGCATTTTTCTGGTGGCAGAAAAGCTTTGGGTTAGGGTTAGAAGAGATCCCCTTACTGCACTACTGCCACAACGAACACGGCCTAGTCACCTCTAGCCAGCCACTCTGATCACGTCAACTTCAAACCTCAAAACTCAAATTCTCCCACCTCGGTCACCACTCACCCAAACCTCACAACCTTAACTCCTCATCCTACAACTCCCTCAGCCCCAACAACCGCCAAAAATGTCCTGGGGCCCCAACGCCAGAAACCCCAACAACCTCATGCCCAGGGGAGCCCGTGACTACGACCCCATTAGTCCCCTCCACTACGTCTGCGGCCACCTCTGCGCAGTCGGCACCCAGCTGTTCACCAAGCCCGGCGACAAGGATAAGGGCGAGAAGGATATGTTAATCCTACCTCCTCGTAAGTATTTGGTGGAGGTAGCCTGGCCGTGCTCGGAGTGTAAAGATTCTCGGGCTTGGGTTTGGGAGAAGGGAAATGGGGTGAAGAAGGGGGAGTATGTTAGGAACGAGGACTTGATGCCTGTTGTTGGTAGTAGGGCTCCTGTTGTCGTTGCTGGGGCTGCTCCTAACGCTGTGGCTTCCGTCGCTCAGAAGCTTGAGAAGGAAAAGGAGAAGGAGAAGGAGAAGGAGAAGGAGAAGGAGAAGGAGAAGGAAAATGAGGAAAAGCACATGCAGCTTGCGAAGGAGATTGAGCGGCTCGAAGAGGAAAAGATTTGGCTTGAGAAGCAGCTTGAGAAGCTTTTGTTGTTGCCCTAGTTGAGGGATCCTCGCTATGCTGCTCATATACCCAGAGGTACTACCTACCTTTCTCGAGGTATAGAGAGTAGCAAGAAGAGCTGAGGCAGGAAATTGCAACTGACGAGTGCGTTTTCCCTTCAAGCCAGTTTGCGTGTGGAATAATTCTTTGGAGGGAGATATTGGCGGTGTTGCTCACAGTCCTGCGTGAATCTTACAGCAGAAGATGACGAGATTGGAAGAGAAAGCAACCATCGCGATCCAAACGTTGAACCAGGAAAGCTGACTCGAGTGTGCCCCTCGCGAATTGCAGTGATTACGTACAGTAGACGTGGGCGATGGTGGGTGACGACTGGGACAGTATTTGTACCTGAACGAGCCGCACCTTCTTTCTCCTGCCTTTGATCTTTCCCATCTCGCGCTTTTTCCTTTCCACATACTCTTTCCTTACTGTCTCGTGCACCTTTTACTTCTTCTCCTTTCTTACAAAGTCCACAAAATTTCTTTTTCATCTACCTACTGCACGATCGAAAGCATTTCTCCGGTTAGCTCATCGCAATTGGAGCAACACGTCCAGCGCCCGTCTCCTCCACGAACAGTCATAGATGGAACTTCATAATCTCAAGGATCGTATCGCATCATCCCCGGGCCTCCACTACTCCTGGGCAACAAAATACCTTGACCCAGCTGTCTCGCTACCTTTACTCTCTCCTAAGCCCAACCATACATTAATGGGAATCTGGTGTGCCAGAAAACCGTGCCATAGAAAAAACCGTTACAGAACGGTGATATCCGTTATCCTCGAAATAAACGTACTCCTCAAAGAAACCGTTCAACTCAAAGAAACCATTTCAACAGAATCCCTAAGCTCTGATTGGCTAAAATAAGAATGGAGGGCTATGTGTTGGCCGGGAGCTAGTGAGAGTTGAAGAGACTCCCCTTTTAGGAAGGGACGATAGAAAAGAGAAGGTTTGGAAGGGAGAGAAGGAGAGAGAAGGAGAGAGAAGGAGAAAGAAGGAGAGAAAAGGAGAGAGGAGGAGACGGAGTTCAAAAAGCCAAAGTCCCATCGACTCCCCAACTCTCCCAACTTCAACCTTTTCATCAACGACAACGACAACGACAACAACAACAGCTATTATCCCTAGGTACGGATCCATCCCATTTCATTTCGTCAACTAACTTCCATATAGGTAATTGACGTGATAGCGATAGCGATAACGATGACGATAGCAATAGCGATAGCGATAGCAATAGCGATACAAGGTAGTGAACTTAGTAGATTAGATTTTAGGTTGGGAGGGGGGTAACGAGGTCTTAAGAAGGCACGAGGTCTTAAGAAAGTAATTTCGTAGTGTAGAGTAGAAAGAAGGTAAGAAGCACCCATTCCCAAACTAATCCAGCCAATCAGATCCCTCAGATCTCCCTGGAACGGTTTTTCTGAGCTGAACGGTTATTCTGAGCTCAACGGTTATCTCCAAAGATGGTGTTTGCTTACAATGAACGGTACCATGGAGGTACGGTGCTATGCACCCCCAATATCCCATTAATGTAGGGCTACCTGCCTATCTTTACTGCTTGCGAGAAAGGACGTCGCTACTCCGACTCATCCTTCACTCTCACCTCCTCCTTTACCCTCACCTCCTCTTTCACTTCGCCCTCTCCCTCCTCCTTCACCTCCTCTCTAACCCCTTCTTTCTTGACCCTCTCCACCATCACCGCCAAGTCCCCATCCAAGATTTCCTTCGTCTCTTCCATTATATTGTCCATCTCCCTCAGCAATACCCGATTCACTTCAGCATAAACATTCCTCCATGCCTCCCTCTTCACTTCCTCCTCCGTGATGTCCTGATACGTTTTTCTTTTCATCACGTCCCTCAGTTCCTTTTCCAATATGAGCTGCACGGCGCCTCGTATATCTTCTTTGATGTCTTGTGTGTTTGCTTCCGCTCCTCTAGAGGTATGTCCCTCTTCTCTCCTGGAGTCTGCATGTGACCGCCGTCTTTGTTGTTCTGCACGTTTCCTTTCCTTTGACTCTTGCTTTAGTCTTCGTCGTAGACTAACCTCAAGGTTACCTCTAGGGTTCTCTCTAGAAGTGCTTGCTCGTGTTGGTGCTGGTGCTGCTGGTCTCCGTAGCGCAGGGGTATCTCTAGGAGTGCGCCCTGGTGCCGTTCCTGGTGGAAGCTCTGATATCCGTACTCGCTCTGGCATTCTATAACCCTTATCCATCACGGATTCTGGTGCCTCTAGAGGTACTCGCAATGAGGGGTCAGAATCAGGTCCCACTATATCGTGATTCCCATCCCGCCGGACCCAATGATGAACCGGTTCACCTGGTGTACGATCCCGCTCGGGTTCATACACGTAAATTCCCTGACGGATGCACTGCTCGCAAGGGAAGGGTATATAAGTGTTGGGACGACAGATGTATGAATACACAGGCCGGCAGTCGACGAATGGACAGACGTTGGCATGAGGAGTTGGCTGGGGATAGTCGTGATAGTGACCGCATCTGAAGGTAATGTCGCCTTCGAGCATTATGAGGCACATGATAGCGGTTGTTGGGGTTGGAGCGTTGAGGGCTTTTGGAGGACTGAAGTGAGAAGGTGTCAGTTTCTGGCTGTTCTGGGCGCTCAATGGACCTAATGTTTAGTGGGTTTTTGCGATCTGTTCGCAGTTGGATGACCCTGGGAAGCATGGCGGTAGTGTGACGACTGGAGCATATGGGTGATATTGCGGCTATATAGATCAGACATGATGACCTGATCGGGAACGGAACTGCCCGGCTCTTCTCTTTGGGGTCAGTCCAGACACTACGTTACAATGATCCATGTCTTTCTGCAAGCTTGTTACAATGGACGTTGAGACGCTCGGTCAAGAAGGAATGGAATTTGTTAGAGCTGCACGTTGTGAACTCTTCAACGTAATTGCGCTAGAAATACAGGACCATCCACAAAAATCCAAGACCAGAAAACCTTAAAGATCTCTAGTTAGAACACGAGAAGATACAGCTTCAAGCACGAAGCCCCAACCAACGCGATGCAACATCTCACCGAAAAGGACACTTTAAAGGGGGAACTTTCGGAAAGTAAAGTTCGAGTCGGTTCGAAATATGAAGGTTCAATAGAGCATTCCACAGGGCACGCAAAGAGTCTAGGTTGCTGAGTGCTGACACAACACTCTCAAAGCACCCAATGCAAACAACAACCCATGTCTTCCACGTTATTCAGTTCATTCATCATTCCAGCTCTTGGAAACAGATATCGTCAGGGAAATAAGGCCTGCATCCACGTGGTGCCCATAAACACATGGTTTCTTTGTCCTGTGTCTTACCTTCGGAACGAGCTGTCACCTGGAACTATTCTAGAAGGTTTCTCTTTTCAGAGTTGTGATATCTCGTGCTTGGCATTGAAGGCTTTCAGTGAACTTCAGGCAGCTTTCCAGTCGTGAGAAGAACCATCAATGGTCTGGAAATGACATGCACATGCATTCATTGTTGACCGGAGACCCCGAAGACCCGTGTCTGAAATGGAACATGGACCCTTTCTCCGGTTTAACTTCCGGTAGTCCGCGGGTTTACGTCGCCAAAGGGAATCTTTATAAGAATCTCCCGGTGTCTTTCGTTCTGTCAATGGTTTCTTCCATTCGGTGTTCCAGTCCAGTTCAGTGCGATTCCTTTCTCCCCTTGCTGGCGTTCCTTTGATTCTATAATCTTCAGACTTTGTTCTTTCCATCTCTTAGAGGTTTTGAACCTTCCTCTCTTCTCTTAATCGACCCCATTTAATACCACAACCGCCGGTCGGTTCCTTCCTTTTGCCCGAACCAAGCACCATACACCAAAGCAACACTGTTATCGACCACACTACAATCCAGTCGTCAGCAAAATGCAGACTGCCAAGATCATGTCCATCATCGTCTGCCGCAATGAGAAGCGCGGCGCATACGAGAAACCACCAGGCCCGAAGCCTGTTGGTCCTAGCAAGCCTTAGGGGAACAGAGATGATACTTTGATCTCGATTAGATCACGGTCATGTAAGTACTAGTTGGGTCTCGAAAGGGTTCCGCTGACGCAAGGAACCTGTCAGTCTTCCATCTTTACATCAACTTTCCTTTCCGAACCACTCACTTGGATCACGACATGATTGCGGGCAATCACACATCACATACTCTCGTAACTCTTTTCTACACATAGTTGACGGGAACTACTGGGGCTACATTCCTTCACGACATAGCATATAGACTTGGACATGCATTATAGACATAGAGGCTGGCAGGCGCACGCTAGCATCAATCTAAACTTCCACTTCATTTCTTTTCTCTCGTGCACCTCAGGATGGAATTTGAACTCCGTGCATTGAACAAAACGGGAGTCTTCAATCCACTGCATCTAAAACTTCAACCCCATCTCCCTAAAAGCCTTAACACTCCCCTCAAACACCTCCCTCCTCTTCGCATCCACCTCCTTCCACCCCCTCTGCTGATCAACCCAGACCTCCTCCCTCTCTTCATTCTGCAGCTCCCCCCACGTGAAATCCGCAAACTCATTCAACTCCATTCCAATATCCCCCAGTCCCATCTCCACCAAGTCCGGCTGAATCGTGTGCAACTCCGTCTTCACAGCAGGCGGCATGATTTCCACCACTTTAATATGCTTGGTATGTTCCGCCTCTGGGCCCGTAAGTTGTGCGCGGAGGGACCACACGAGCGAGTGGGCGGCGGCTTTGGAAGCGGAGTAGTTGGCGCAGCGCGGGAGGGGGATTACCGAAAGACCGGAGGTGACGACGATGATGGAGGTGGGGTTGGGTGCGAGAGAGATCAAGTGTGGCATGAAGAGGGCGATCATGTTCAAGGGGGAGAGATAGTTGGTGGTGAGTTCGGTGGTGTGGGCGGCGAGGTCGATGGTGGTGGGGTTGGTGAACAAGAGGGTCTTTTGGAGGCCGGCGTTGAGGAGGATGGAGTCGAGGGTGGGGTAGGTGGTTGTGATGCTGGTAGGTGTTAGTAGGGGGATAAGAGGGGAGGGAAGGAATGGGAACGTACTGCTTGACCCAGTTGGGAAGGGCGGAGAGGTCTGAGATGTCAAAGGGCTCGGCGGCGACCTTGTCGGAACCGTGCTTCTTGACGAGAGCGTCGAGACGGTCCTTGCGGCGGCCGACGGCGATGACGAAGACACCGCTGTTGATCATGCGCTCGGCGAGCGCGAGGCCGATGCCGGAGGTGGCGCCGGTGATGAGGACGGTCTTGTAAGGGAAAGGCATGGTGATGATCGGATGGTGAAGTGATGGTTGATGATGTGAGTTGAGCTTAACAGAAAGAGTTGGCGAAGTCGTTGGGTAATATATATATTCTAGAACAATGGCGGTTGAATTGATGTATTAACTCCTAAGTCCGAAACTGTGGAGTCAGTCTGCTTCGGCAGTGTAGCAATCCGGTAGGGGTCCGTTTACCTTGTTGTGGGGCCAACATCGCCGGCATGACATGACCTCACGACTTCTTGATGATTCCATGTGTGTGAAAATATGTAATCAACAGAATCATTATAAAGCAAAAAAGCCACACTGCCACTTGAAGGATCCTGCGTCGGCCGAGGAGTATCGTAGTTTCCCTGTGATGTTGGAGTTTTGAGGTTGCGAGAATGAATAATAATGTCGTTGCCTGAGCCAGCTCGTTCATGCACGGGGTAAACTTTACGCCGAAGATATGGAGTGGGCGTTACTCCAAGTGCACCACCCTCCTCACCGGCTTCACCTTTTCAAACTCAACATCACTCTGCACCGTAACAAACGTTCTCCTCTCTGCCACTTCTCCCCTTCCGTCCTGGCTTATAACCCAATCCAACACAATCATGTACACTGTGTCCTTGACAAACTTTTCGTCTTGTGTATGCCTCAATCTCTCGACAACCAGACACTCATACTCCCCCGTCTTGAGCGTATATGGATGAGGAAAGTTTCTCTCCGACACGATGCCGAATGGTTGCTCATCCTCATTCTCCGGCTTCTTGAGGAACGCCTCGCTAAACGGCTCCGTGCGGATGTAGAAGTTGCAAACGTAGCCGTTGATGGTCAGTTTTTTGCCTTCGCAACCGACAAACTCCGGAACCATGTCACTCTTCACGTCCCTCCCTCTTCGCCCTTTACCAGCAGTCACAAGCGAACCATCTAGCAAAGAGGTCTGATCGAACGTGACGTGCCCCTCCCAGCCGCACCAACTCCACGACGGAAAGCTCTCTCGCCTTTGTGGGCGGGCGATGTCCCACGGCGGGGAGTCCTTGTGTAGCCTCTCGGGCTTGGGAAAGGACCAATCGTGAGACCAGCCCAAGGTGAGAGGAAATTGGCGCAGGGGAAGGCCCCATTCGAATACGGAAGGGAAGAGATGGCGCTGGAGGGCGGAGAGCAAACCGAGACAGGCGTTGAGGGAGTCTGAAGGCCAGGACATTTGACGGCTGGTGTAGTCTATGATGAGGCCGGTGTAGAGGAGGATGCGTTGAGGGTCTGTTACGGAGATCTAATGGGTCCATCTGTTAGCGAGGAAGCAGCATAAGGGAATGGCGAAGGGAGAACTAACGTCGGTATCAGTAAGGTTAAACCCATTCATCAACTGCCTAAAGGAATCCATAGGCCGGTCCGATAGATGCTCGTAACAACTGGGATCATAGGCATCGGGCGCTCCAAAGCGCTGGCAGGAGATGCCGAGCTGTTTGTCAGAGAAGAAGAGAGACCGCTTGGACAGCATGCCTTCCTGGAAGGTCCAGGCCCGAGTGTCCCATGCCGAAGCGGCCATTTCGTCCTCGACGACAGCGGGGATGGTGAAGAGCGTGCGGCCGTTGATAGTCTCATGAAGTTGCATCTCCCGTTCCCGCGAGACTCCGCAAAGGCCAGCGTTGGAGTTCTGGCCAGAGAGGGCAACGAGGGTTACGGCGGCGCATTGGTAGATGAGATCCATCATGGCGAGTTGCTGGGTCTTTTCGGCTTTCTCTTGGACGGAGAGTGTGTCCCAGGGTTTCTGATTGATGCAGAGGGCGTCGACCTGGAGGGATTGTCAGTTTGACGTCTGCAGATGACTTGACTCAGGTTGCTTACCCAGAGATAGCGCTTCCCAAGTTTCTTGGTGACAGTGATGGAGTCCTCAATAGTCTGCGGCAGAGTCTTCTTTTCCAAGGCCCCTTCCTCCGGCATAATTCCACCCCAAGTATAGCTTAGAGCGACATACTCGCATCCCTTTGGGTAGGGAACCACCTTGCGTTCAAGGACATCGATCATCTTTGTGGTGAATAATTCCTCGGGCTTCGTAGAGATGCAGTATTCTTTATGGTTTTTCCAGCAAACATCAAGGCCATTCTTCGCAAACCCAAAGTCAACAAACGGCTCAATCAACCGTCCATTGTACTGTTTCCGGTCATGGAACGTGTCTTCAGTGGCCAAGCATATAGCAGGGCCCGTCATTTCAGAGCTTTGCACACCTGGTTCATTGTCTGAGAAGAGCAAAGGAACTTGGAGGTCGTGGATCATGTGGCTGAAATGGCGCAGACCCAAGAAGATGGCACTTTTAGTCCTTGTCTCCTCAGCAAGGTACTGCCAGCCGGCATGTCGGACATAGGCAGGATAGGGAGTGAGTCTCATGCCCTTGGTGTCGGGACGTATGCCCTCGGTGGGCATGATGCGGTAGATGAGCCGGCAGAAGGGGCACGATGCTTGCAAGGCGAGCGATCCAAGTTCACCGAGGGCGAGCTCATAGGGCTTGAGGCGGACGAAGTAATCCCTGAATTTGTCACTGTCATCGGGAATGAGGCCCGAGGGGAGCGGTTCTGAGAGCTCAAAGGCCTTGAGGGGATTGTAATCGGCGCATCGTTTGCAAAGCGAGCTGGGCTTATCTTGGAGTTGCTTGAGAAGCTTTTCATCATCGGCAGAGAGCGGGCAAAGTTGGTTGAACTGCTCCTCTGGTCCGAAGTGGTCCGACTTCTTTGCTGAATCTCGGGACTTCTGCTTGGGACAGGGCTTTGAGGCAGGCTCAAGCTGTCGGCAAAAGATGCAGAGTCTGAAGTCGGGAGAGGCCATTTTGACGTTAGTCGTGTTGGGGTGAGCAAGGTACCTAGGTAGGCAATGACAATGAAGATGGGTGCAGGCTTACCAGTCCTTATGTTCCAGCTAAGCAGAGAAGGCTCTGGAGACTGGACTTCAGCTGAGTTGTGAAGCTCGCCCGTAACTGGCTGCCCAATATCTTTGACTCCATCTCGGCTGATGCATTGCTGCCTGGGTGCTTGTGGCGGCTGACGGATTGTGGGAAGTGGCTAGAGCCGGCTAAGTACGATCCTTGCCGTAGGATCACTTGGAGATGTGGAAAAGTGGTTGATCAAGACTCAAAGGAGAAAAAGACAAGCACGAGTTCCATGGAGCTGTCGAGGTGAAGAACAGCCCGTGTTAGTGGCCTCTGCCATTGACGCAGTGTTGTGGTGGAGGTGCGCTAACGTGGACGCTGTAGCCGTGCAAATACAGGACAGCATAGCGCAGAATGAGGGTGTCCGTCCACTCTGGGAAATATCCAGCAGGTGATCGATATTGGTCTCCCGCCGCCATTGCAATTCGTGACGCGGCGCAAGAAAGTCATCTCAAACTGAAGGAAGCTTAAAGGAAGGAGTTCAGATGAAGTTCAAGTTCGGACGAGACAAAGCCGGGAGCATCCACTGCGGTGTCGGTCTTGTCCCGCTGTTAGTTGCCGGACTTGCCGTAATCGGGACGGGCACGACTCAAAGCGGGTCGCTCCCTCCCTCCACCTCGAGCCGGCGACTGATGGCGTCACTAAGTCCGATCTTACCCCTCCAACAAGTAAACAGCATCAACACCCTCAATTGCTGGTGTTTGCCCAAACTCCGACACGTTCAATTAGAGGCCCTCAGCGTCGTTTCTTCTGTTGGTAAGTAAGTCCAATGTGCCCATTTGTGACATCGGAGATAGGCGTTAAAACCACTAACCCCTGCTCACACCGTGACTCCTTCTCCTCTTCCCCCATGCAACCCCTCATGCGGGGGGTGTCTCCATCCATGTCAACAAACACCACTGCATAACATATAAACATCACCACCTGCCCTTTCCCATGAGCAATTGAGTTCCCAGCCAAGCATCTAACCACCACAATCGGAACCAGACAGATACCAGACCAATAAACCCGCCAAAATGCCCCTCATCGCCCAAAACCCCCAGCCCCGCGTGATCCTAGGTCTCATGACCTTTGGCACCGACACCGAGACGGGCGCCCGCGTCACCACCGTCCCCGAGTTCAGCAAGGTGCTCGACCTCTTCCAGTCGCGGGGGTACAACGAAGTCGACACGGCGCGCATGTACATTGGTGGAAAGCAGGAAGCCTTTACTCGCGAGGCGGGCTGGAAGGACCGCGGCTTGACTCTGGCTACCAAGGTCATCTACCCCACCAACGGAGGAGATAACACGCGGGACAAGGTCCTGGAGAGCGCCGACATTAGTCTGAAGGAGTTGGGGACCGATTGTGTGGATATTTTGTATTTGCATGCTGCTGTAAGATACCCCTCTTTACCCAGACCAGGAATGTGGTGGTTTGGCTGACAGACATGTGAAAGGACCGCAAAACCCCCTTTGCCGAAACCCTCTCGGCCATCAACGACCTGCACAAAGCCGGCAAGTTCGTCCGCTTCGGCATCTCCAACTTCACCTCGTTCGAAGTCGCCGAGATCGTCATGACGTGCAAGTACAACAACTGGGTCCTGCCCACCATCTACCAAGGCATGTACAACGCCATCACCCGGTCTCTCGAGACCGAGCTCGTCCTGGCGTGCCGCCGCTACGGCCTCGACATCGTCGTCTACAACCCCCTCGCCGGCGGTCTCTTCTCGGGCAAGATCAAGTCGCACGACATGGTGCCCGAGTCGGGCCGGTTTTCCGACGTCAACAAGATGGGCGTCATGTACCGCGGTAGGTACTTTAAGGAATCGACGTTCCGCGCGTTGCAGGTGGTCGAGCAGGCGGTGGAGAAGGCAGGGCTTAGCATGATTGAGACGGCGTTGCGGTGGATGGTGCATCATAGTGCGCTGAAGATTAAGGATGGGAATGATGGTGTGATTATTGGTGTTAGCAGTATTGATCAGCTGGATAGCAACTTGACCGACCTCGAAAAGGGACCGCTGCCCGAAGAGGTGGTGAAGGCCCTGGATGAGGCGTGGAAGATTGCCAAAGTTGATACGGTCAATTATTGGCATGGAACGGTCGAGTACGGGTATGATGTGAGGGAGGCCCTGTTTGGGAAGAACGCGAAATAGGTGGAAGCTGTATGTAGTGCGGTAATGATGTTATGGATTGGCTGAGGCAAAGTCTATGGTCATGTTGTAGCCATTGTCGTGACTTTGATGTGAATACTTGTGACCACCTGAACATACCTAGGAACAACTCAAATGAGACTTGACTTTACTGCGTCGGTATAGCCATCGTCAAGATAGGTCCCAATGTTAGTCCCACTAACCCGCCCCGCCCCGACTTCCGACTGCCCGCCCGTCCGTACCATGTCCGTGCACTCCGGATGCCGTACCCCATACCGTGCGCGGCGCGGCGCCGAGCTTCCAGAATTCGGCCAGTTGTCTCAAAGTCCCGCAATTCAGGGAGGGCGGGGCGGGGGGGGCGCAGCGCAGCGGTTCCAGAACTTCACTTCTTCGGCTGGACCAGCATCCCCGGGCCGTCCGGAACAGTTGGGTCTCGTATTCCAGGTTTTCCAGAAAGGCCGTGATCCCGGTGTTTTTGAGCCATTTCCCCACATGTCCCCGTGTGTAATTTCCGGAGGTGTTCTGGAATCTGGAATCTGAATCTAGTGTAGAGTTCTGGAGTTCTGGATCTGAACAAAGTTCTGGACTATCATGCTCTTTCATGCTCTCGATAATGTTGGGACGTCTTAGGTTTTGTCTCTCAGCTGATATATCTGCATATCAACATGGGAGACTGGACTTCATACTCTGTAATTGCTTACCTAGTGATAGACTACCGTGATGCAGTCATGTAGCTATGCATTCATCTTACAATCTGAAAGCGACAAAGTCGGTCGGTCCGGCGAGCGATTGATCGACGGCAACACAGAACCGCAATTACGGCGATCTGCAAGGGATTGTCGTGTAGTGTACACGTGTACTATATATAGAGCTAAGGTAAGACCTACAGTATTTGACACGTCGGGGCGCTGCGGGCCGGGTCCATTCAGTCCCAAACGGCGATAATATGTGTGCACTACATGCACTAGAGGTAGTCACGGGAATGAATATTGAATACCTAGTGTAGTGAGTGGAAAACGAAGAGCATAGACGGGAGGTACATACATAGATACCACAGCGCGAGCCCGTCCGTCCGTCCGTCTGTCGTTGTGTTGGCCCCGGAGAGAAAGATGGGGGATGCCATTTACACGTACATCAATCCATCGTGGCGCCAGATCATACCGAGGCGATCGCTAATTATCGTTCGTGGCAGTGGCAGTGGTAGTGGTAATCAACTGCCGGTCCGGACTCCGAAATCACGCGCGCTTCTCAAAGCCCAAAGCTCAAAAAGAAGAAGCAAACATATGATGCTAAGCGCCGTCACTTACCTTTAATTGCCGTCTTTTTTTTTTTTTTTTTTTTGCGATCATCACCTGCACTTCGACCGGCAGCTGGTGCTGAGGTGTAAGTATGTACCTATGTACTGTAAAAGGTGGGAAGATTAGACGCCAAGCAAAGCGAAATGCAGGTGCCGGGCGTGAAAGTTGACTTGCATGCAGCCGGCGTTTCTTTGCAGGAGGACTCTTTCGGTTTCCGGCGGCTGCGATTGCGCTTTGCTGTCGGTGATCGAGGAAACCGTTTTCTTTTTTTCTTTTTCTTTTCTCGCTCATGATTGATGTCTTTTCTTGCGAATTCTAAACTAGCCTATCTGACAATTGTAAATTGGATGAAAATGAACTCACAGGCATGTCAACCTGAAAGTTTCCCTCTACTGCCAAGAAGGCGAAGCCGAGGTACACATCTGATTCTAGAACTGCAGTGATTCACCACAAAATACTCCGAATTATGTACCTATCTATTAAGATTCAGGAGATATTTCCCCTTCCATGGCTTCTTCTTCACGCGGACAATGCGAACAATGCGAACAATGTTTCGCCCTACTCTGGCCCACGTTTCAGATTTTGATATGTACCGTGACCTCCGTCTTCTAGGTCCCCCTCCACTCTCCAAGTCTCCAGGTCTCGCTCGCTTCGTTGCCCACGTACTGTACCCAAACTGAACCTTTTCCCCGGAGGAGGACGCCCGCAGGGCACCGAAGGAGGCGGCTGTGCAACCCACTCACTGCACTGCACCATTCACTAGCTAGGTAGGTATCCAGGGACATGTTGCCATCCGCGACGAATCCACACTTCACACCCTCATCTTCCAGGTCCTCCAGGGCTTGTTCATGGCGCAAAGCAGGTACTGTACCCCAGATTGTTTTATATTTTTTGGCCTGTGTTTATGCTCTGAATGGTTACCGGAGAGCTGGTCTCCGTACCCGCGAATCTGGTTCAGGACCAAGCAAGGCCCAGGGGCAATGACAGACAGCTGGAGTCGCTGGAGACCGACCAGGGAGGGGAGGAAAACACAAGTGAAGCTTCTAGGCGAAATGGAGAAATGACGATGGTCCCGATGCGGGGGAGGGGAATTGAATGAATTGACTTTGTTTTGCTGCACTGCACTGCCGCTGTCTGTATGTCTGGCGCAAGCAAGTGAAAGCAACGCTCCGCACTGCACCCGCCGTCTCTCAACTGAACCGACTGCGCCAGAATGCATGTCTGTGGTGGTTTGGTATCCACGTGGATGGGTCGTTCCGGTTTCAATGGGCAGCCAGGAACAGGAACCTGTCGTCAATATGTACATACATATATCAGAATGGTGTGTGCGTCTGTGCAATGATGAATGTGGTCCAATTGTGGCCGCTTCTTCAGCCCTGTACAAGCACAAGGAAAGCCGTCAGTCTGTTCCAAAAAAGTTCCTTTTGGTAGTGTAATGTTTGTGTGCCGCACCCGCCCGTCCTTTGTGGTTCGTGGATTTTGTGACTTTGTTTGACGGTTTTGGAATGAGGAGACATGGTGATTGGTGGAATGGGCCACCAGGGAACACACAAGGGAAGTTATGGACAGGGAACCTCTTTTAAGACGTCTCTCTCGCGGATAGTATTCTCAAAAAGGATATCAAAGTGTTGAGCATCCAACGGTTGGGTTACAATTCAGACATCAACACGAGGATTCTCGGCGAGCTTGAAAAGTTCTGACACCGAAACTCATCACATCTTTGCTACCACTCTCCAATGCTTCAAGATTCCTTTAACCGAAAGAACAGGACGGTGTCAATGTGACAGCCCAGGATCTGATCGCGGGAAGTGCCTGAACTAGCGGTAGGCTTTGTCTGTCAGCACCACGGAAGGAGCACCCAGGACGGATCATCGGAACAAAGGAATCGAGATCGAAAGAGGCTTCGATTCCGGGCAGTAAGGCATAATCCGGTGCCGTCTCTTCGTTGTTTCGTCCGATTCTCTTCAGTGTCGACATCAGATCGTGATCATCGCGGTCATCTTGGTCTGGACCCGATGATGGGTTGATACCAGGAAGATGGCAGATGCCCAAATGATGGACAGGAATGAATGATGAGGGCCCAGGGGAAGTTCCGTGTTTCGTCTCACTGCACGGGTCGGTGCGGGACCACTTTTAAATGTCAAGGTAATCGATGCTTCTGTGTTCTGATAGGCTCCTTTGCTCACATCGAAGTTGCCCGTCCAGGACAATGTGTGATTGGCCCGGTTGAGTGTGAGCTGGTGGTGCATGCCCGCTGTAGCCGCCATTACAGTTGGATATCAACAGATGACCTTGCTCTACTAACATTGTAGCGCCACTCCCAGACCAAATTACGTTAACGTTATATAGGCACGAGATAGCAATTCCCTCTTGCTCCTCACCGGACGCTTACCTCATCTCGCATCGACGTGGTAATTGCGCTCTCCTATTGGCCAACCAAAGGATGCTTTTCCCCTCCCTTCGTGGCAGTCATTCCTGTCATTCCCCCTCTTCAGGCTTTTGGCGTTCGCTCAATCATCGCTGGCTGCTATCCGCTAACCCTTGTGATATCCCCACTTCCCCTGCTGCAGTCAGCCAATCGTTGCGGTCCCTGTTGCTCTTGCTGTGCTCGCTAACCCGGGGCTTGCCCACACTGTTTTCACTTTTCCCTCCTTTTTGACTCCACCTCCTCTTGTCCGCCCCGCCCGGATTGCGCCGCCAGCACGCGTTCTGCTGGTTCACGCCCGCTGTTCTCTCATTCTGGCCTGTCCGTGGTCCCGGCTTCCAGGTTTTTGCTGGGCGGGTTGTCGGGCGGCTCCCCCTGCCCGTCCAGGGCACTGTTCCCCAACGTGATGCCCTGCTGTGGTGATTGTGTGAATGCCCCCCGATGAGGGTGCTCGCTGAGGTGTGTGAACTAGGGCCAGGGCAGCCCAGGCTGGCCACTGCAGCAAATCTGTCCGCTCGATAGGTCAACTGCACCGCACTCACTCTTGCCAATGTCGACTTTGCGCACTCTGTTCTCGACTTCTCTCGGCGCTCTCCAGTCTTCAGACACTTCCGTCTTTTTCTCTCTTTCTTCCTCTTTTTCCATCGCCATCTAGATCGCCTTTCCTTTTTCTAGCCTCGTCTGGCAACAACCCCCCCTTCCTCTTCCTTCTTCCTCTCTATTCGTGCAAAGACGTCGGTCGTCGTCACTGTCTGTCGTCATCGTCGTCGTTGTCGAAAATTGTTGTTGATTCATCTCAATTCTTCAGTTGTTCCTGTTCCGTCTTCTCTGCTATTCTACCTAGTGTGGCACCTTTGCCGCTGTGATCACTTCCATCAGCCAGGTTTCCTCCTGCCCATCCGTCCGTCCGTCCGTCCGTCCGTCTGAGCCTCGTTGATTGAAAAAAATTGACAAGACCATCCCCACCGGAGACGAGACGTACCCAAACAACGCAACGCGCCTTCGTCGCTTCCTTCGGCTTTCTATCTCGATCCCCTCTCGACCATACGCACTGCACCACACCTGACCACACCCGCCCGCCCACTATTCTAGACCGCACACAACTGCAGAAATCTCCCCAAAATCCAAAATCCAAACAAACCCCCCCAGCTGGGCAAAAGGAAAGAAAAGACCGATCTCATCGACAACAACAAGCAACAAAAAGGATATTCCTTTTAATCCTTGTATTCTATTTTCGGCTGCACACGCTATTTGCTATCACGATCCAATTGAATCTCGCGCGTTTTCTGTCTTGTCGACCTCGGCCTCGATTGGTTTTTTTTTCTCGACAACACGCAACGCACCGCACCACGCATTCGCACTCCAACCACCACGAACACGCATCGTTCACACAATAATCTCTGGCAGCAACATTCATCAAAGGCGATTGATTGTCCTTGATTCGGAAAGAGCTGTATACTAGGATCATCGTGGAGACGTGATCCCCCAGATACAGCAATCACACACACGCACAGTCAGCTGTTGCTGCTTCTTCTGCCACACACACTTTGAGAGTGGAAGGAAGAAGAAGAAAAAAAGGATCATCAGTCCTGTTCATTGTTGTTCAAGACGCTCCCGTCCCTTTGGAACAAGTGGAAAAAGGTAGCTCTGGCCAGCTCTGTCCTCTGTCCCTTTGTCTGTCTCCATTCCGAGAAAACAAAGGTTTGACTTCTCCACGCGTCGTCGCTCCCCGCTAGAGGTACTAAACCCGACAGCCACACACCACACTACGGCCTGCCAGCCAAGCATCCCCTGCCGCTAGCAGCTCCGTCTCTTCAGCTTGTTGTCTCCTGACCCGGTCAAGTCCAGGCTTGCACACACTGTCTTCGGTCGCAACCGAGCCAACTCTGCCTGACCACCACCGCACTGCACCTATTCCAAGGTTCGCACCGGTTCGACCAGATTCGCCACCTCACTCCTCCTCCTCTCGACAAGTCATCAATAGAAACTTGAACAACCCCACCGTCCTTCCTTCTCATTCACCATCCCACCGAACGCGCGCGAGGGCTTTTTTTACCTTCTCTCTCTCCGCCGACCGACGACCGTCTTCTACTTGCAACTGTCGATCCTCGACCGCTTCTTTCCCTCTTCTGTTCGTCGCTTCGGCTTTTGAACGCTTTGCCCGCTCATTCGGCTTCCATCATCAACAGCACAATCTTTTGACCTTCGTCTCTCGACAATCTTTTAATTGGAACGCATTCCGAATCATCTTCAGCTGTTTTTATACAACCACCACCATTGCATAATCTTTGGGTTGGGGTCTTGGTACAGGCTTCTACGACTTCACATCGTTTTCGCATTCTTCGAGAGAAAATAGAGCGGTCGCAACATCAGAGCGTTTGATCACGTTCTTGCAGCAACCGGCATATTCTTCCTAATATCCATCCATCATCATCATCATCATCACCATCAAAAATGGCGCACATGCAGTACAACCAGCAGGCCATGTCCTCTGGTCTGGCCTCGAGGAGAGGTGGCCAGAACATCAAGCCTCTTTCTTTCGACTTCAAGTCCATCCCCGAGAACGACACTGGCATTCCCACGCCACGCACCAGCCGTTCTCACCTTCTTGCGGGTTTGAGAACCGCCCCCAAGTCGGCTACCGCTACCAGCTTCGCAATTGGAAACGGTCCCGCCTCACCCACCGTCAACCCTCATGCCCGGAACAGCCGCAACAACTCAATCACTCCTGGCATGTATGACGGCGCCAGCTACCTGAACGGACCTAAGACGTCCATGCCGACCTATGGCGGTATGCACCAGGCTCAACACCAGGCCATGCAACAGCAGGCTGTCTACAACGCTGAAGTGGCCGCTTATCAACAGCAGCAACAGCAGCAGCAGCAGTACACAACTGACCAGATCATGGTCTCGCAGCTTTCGATGGATGACTCGGTTCAGGGAGAGCTCGATCCCAATGTGCACGCTCAACTCATGTACACTAATCACGTTCTGGCTCAGCGTCAACAGCAGTTGCAACAGCAGCTGCAGGCCCTGCAGGCGGCTGCTCAGCAGCTCCAGTCCCAGGGTTACCGTATGCAGGGACAGGCCACGGCCTCGCAGCAGAGCCACCAGTCGACTGTTTACCAGCAACAGATGCAGCACCACGTTCAGCAACAGGTGGAGCAACTCCAACAGCAGCGTCTCCAGCAACAGTATCTGGCGCTCCAGCAGGCTCGTGCGCAGCAGGCGGCTCAGATCCAGCACCTTCAGCAGCTCCAGGCCTTGATGACCCCGGCTGCTACCCAGCAGCAGAGCGCTTACTCGCTCTACGATCCCACCACTGGCCAGCAGACGCTCTACGAGGCCACCAACCAGCTCGCCAACCAGACTGCTCAGCTTAACCTCAACAACTACGGCGGTGTCCAGCAGCCGGCTGTCGGCACTCCCCGCTTGCAGGTGTCCCCCCCTCCCCCGACCGAGACCAAGTCGAGCTCGCGGAACTCGTCGCCTCCTCGCCGCTTCGAGTCGCCTGTCGTCGAGACTGCCGTCAACCCCCTGCCTCCCCCGAGCGCCAACGCGTTCCGTCGTGGTCATAAGAAGACCATCTCGACTGCGAACGGCAACAAGAACCAGCTGACCATCTCAACCAACGAGGAGCCTCCTAAGACTGCTGGTCTCAAGACATCCACTTTCCCGATGACCCCTATGACGGCCGGTTATGGGCCCGGTCAGGCTCGTGCTGGTGAGCACCCCGTCCGTCAGCCGCGCAACCCACCCTCGCTGGACGAGCTCAAGTCCAAGCCGACCTCCAAGCACGAGGGTAGCAAGAACTTTGTGGCTCGCACCCGCCGCTCGGCGATCCACAATCTTGTGCGCGCCGGCCTTGAAAGGCGCAAGGAGGCCCGCTCCTCTGGAAGCATCAGCCCTATTTCCGAGAGTGCCGACGAGCTGGTGGAGACACCCTTGACGGACAACGACAGCGACTCGGGTCGTAGCGGATCCGGTATCCTGCTCGACCACGACGATGCCGAGAGCAGCCTGCCTAGCTCACGCACTAGTACTGGCAGCTGGGGCGCCATTGGCTCGGACCGCCCGAGCTCGCGTCAAAAGACCAACCGCACGAGCGTTGACAGCACCAACTGCTCGGATAACGAGGCGGCCAGCCGTGACTCTGGCAGCTTTGCAAGCTTGTTGAAGAACAGCAACCGCGGTGCCAAGACGGAGGCCGTTGACGGTCAGCAGCGCAAGGCGAGGCTTGTTTTGACGGCTCAGAAGCGCAGCATTGGTGCTTGAAGTGTCGCTGGTACATAGGGATTCTTTCTGCCGGTTTGGTGCCTTGAAGGGATGGGTTGGCGCTTAAAGGATACAATGTTATGCTAATCACGATTATGCCCCGACGTCTTCAGTTATCTTCTACTCTCATTCACGACACGTCCCCAACTGACATGTCTGCTGGGCAAGGTTGCTGTGCCACCTTGCCTAGGGCTTTTCGGTGTCCGCTTAACGGACAGCAAACGGGAAAACTGGAGAGGATGTGGACACATGGCTTGGTGACGCTTTTACTTTTTTTCTCGGTTCGCTTCAACCACGACTGTGTCTTGTGTTATGCATTTTTGGGAATTGGAATCTTTGTTCTGACATTTACGCTTTTTACGCTTTCAGATTCTGTAAGGTTTTGGTTTTCCGGTTCTTCACGTTCGTTTCTTGTTTGGAGGTCTTTGGGGGGTTTTGTGTCACTTGCAAAGGGTGGCAAAGGTGTAACTTTCTTGGAGAGAACAGGGTTCAGAGTTGAGACCAGCCGGACATACATACGCAAATGCAAACATGTGTCTACAAATTGGGTTCAGTGATTTCCTCTCTGTGCTTGGTGACTGAAGGATGACCGATATCTATTTTCCCTCCATTTTCTATCCTTTGCTTGTTCTCTTTGTCTTTCTTCGGTATTCCCGGTGCAATGATGATGTCCCCGGGAGTCGGATCCAGATGCCAGCACCAAAATCGTGGTTAGAGGTAAATTGGGAGCCACGGCAGTTGTGTCTTCCGTCAGTAGCACAATCACGGATCAGCTCCTTCCTCGAGTGTTTCCTAGTGCGCTCCTCGTCGCCTCAAAATTTCGCGCCGAAATCGGGGGTACGGTAGATACCTCGTCCTCTATGCTATGAGGCAGTCGCGAGTTGCGTCAGTGACGTGACAAGGAATCAGTCGCTCCTTCCTCTTTACAAGAGCTACGCGACCGAAGAGAAAAGCCCGGCACTCGGACGAGAATTATCCGTTTCCTTTGGGAACTCCATACTGACCCGCGGCGCACGTTCGATCTTCGAAGGAACAACTCAACTTCTCAGCATTTCTTCGCTGTCTGGCTGCTTTTGTTCTCCCTTCTCTCTTTGTTCGTTTTATCATCCTCCGTGCTTTGAACTCGATCTGAAAAAGAGCAGTATAACTGCGCAAGCTGCGGTAACCGGTTCGTCCTTCTCTATCTGACATCCACCAGATTCTCCTCTGGTCATGTGCCACAAACCCACCTGCCTTACACCAGTTAGTAGTAACGCAGTTGCCGTCGACCTGTTAACATCACCGATCACTTTAACTCCGCACCTCTAACGATAAGCCTCCAAATGCGCATAGGTTACCCCCGCGTCGCAACAGATCCCAAGGAGCCACCCACCTTGACAACATGGGAGATATCCCCAACGGACAGACATCCGAGCCTCAAGTTGACCGCCCACGGATGGGAAAAGAATGGGTGAAAATCAACGGTCCTTCAATCCTTGTCTGGGGAACTTGTTCGTATCTCCCAACTCCATGCGTAATCCGGATTGGCTCTGGCGACTGACCAGTTGTTCATCACTACCTATAGTCTGCATCCTCGTGATGGCTTCAACTGAACTCCTTGTTCGTCTGTGGCAGCAGAGGAGATCGGTTATGGAAGACGACGAATGCGCAGCCACCCGTTCGGACCTCGAGTTTATGGTGGTGATGAACCGAGTTGGGATCATAGTTCAATGTTGTCTTTGCCTCTGGATGTTGTGGCCTTTGACAAAGGGGGAGCCCGCGGACGGTTCCGCCTCGACGGCTACTGCTGCGGATTCAGGTGAGTAGCTCCCGTTACCCCGGCATTGGAAATGCGAACTGACGGGGAGTTGTGTTGTAGAGGGCAAGAGCAATGGTTTGGTTGAGGGACAAGCTGTGATGGAGGAGAAGAGCGCCAATCTTCGGGTTGTTTTGAGTGATTTGGAGAAGGCAAAGAATGACCTCAAGATGGCGAAGGAGTACCTTGAGGAGTCGAGGAAGGAACTTGAGGAGCTGAATAGGAGCGTTGATACTCTGCTTGTTGCTCTGCACAAGAAACGGGCTTGATATTCCTGCATGTCAGAACTCGCGAGGGGGGAGAAACTGGTGCTGTAGTATGGGGTGGTTGGGAAGACCTGCTGTGTATTGCGATGATGTTAAAGAGCGAGTATTAGGAGGTCAAAGGGGGAGAGACTGTCGTGAGCCTGTCGTGGAGTTCAATATCATCCATCCGCAGAATTTCGTCAAAGGATGAGCTGCTTGATATCAATAAGATGGACGCTTAGCACTGTCACTCCTCATTCATCACCACGGTCGGTTAGTCCCCTAACACCAACACAATTACACATCCCCTGCCATCACCAACCCCGGTCAAACCCGAGCTACCGGGTTGCCGGGCTCCCTAGCATCCTCCTCCCTTGCAGTGTAGTAATCGTGCGACTTCGGCAGCTGTGGCGCCCCTAGGCGAAGCTGAACCGTTAGCTCGGGAATCCCAAAATTCACACAAAGATTCCCAATGACGCTTGATCAAACTTGCGGTCGCAATTTTAGCTGCCGAAAACCGACCAACCATGATCCAATACGTATTTGATACGTCTTTTCCCTGCCACCGCTGGAGATTCACACGGGGCTTGGGCTGAGCTGGGGGCTGGGCAGCCGAATTGGCTTGCTGCTAGATAGAACAAACAACCGGAGATTGGCGACCATGCCCAAATTGGTTTGCTGGGCTATTGGCGAGAAACCTCATTAGAAGTAAGTTCGATAAGTAGCAAAGACCGTTTGGAATGTCATGACTGCTGAATGCAGCCACTGCTGAGGTGGAGGTGAGGCAGCCGATGGGAATATCGAATATGGGGAGGTGAAGTTTGGTGGTGGATGTTTGTTGTTGTTGATATATCAGCTTGTTGATGACTCTGTCTTTGGTGTACTTGACATTTCATTTTTATCGCATTTTTATTTTTTCTTCATCACACGCTGGACCGAGTTGCTTCTTTTTTCAGTCTGCTGATCATCAAAGCAGTTTGAACCTTCCACCTTCAACCTTACCTCTAAACTCTAACGTCATGATTTCGACAAGCGACCTACACCTCCTTGGGTGCCATTTTGAGCAATACCCCGACTACCAGCCGCGAAACTTCAAGTCAAATGCTTCCAAGGACCACCCCCAAGAACCTGAAAACGAAAACCTCGGAGTCTTTCACTTCCCTGTCCTCAGCTTCGGGTTTGTTTTTGTGCTTTTGGGGATAACCTGTGAGTTTCCTATTTCCAACAACAAGCACTACCAAGAAAGCTCAATAGAACTTTGTACTGACGAAGTAAATGAAGCAAAGGCACACTAATTTCCATTGCAATCTTTCGCTTCCTTACACATACCTATAACATGTACACGCTACATCAGGATATGGACATGGACATTGCCAGTTGGTCTGTTCGCTTGATGTCGACGCCATTGATGTTGCAAACCAAGTCTGTTGGTGATTCGTTGGTGGGGGTTGCGTTTGTTGAGGCTTTGGCTAGGAAACCTCATGATCTTTCGAGTAGGTGGAGGAACGCATTGGATTTAATGCCCTTGGATATGAAGATGAAGATGGAGTTCAAATTGGAGGTGGAGGCGATGCCGGTTGAGAGCGCGGTGTTGGGGTTGGAGGATTGGGTTTATAATGTTGCGGGGCTTTGAGGTTTGTTTTGAGGTATGGGTGGAGGTTGGAGATGGAAGGTTGGTCACATGGAGGCATTCTTTCAAGCAAATTCTCTTTGGGTTTTCTTTCTGGTGTACGTTTTGCGGAGGCGGGCGCGGGTTTGCTGGTCATACTTTCCTTTGTTACCTTAGATGGATGGACGGAGGTTTGGTGCTGCGGTACTATGTGCTCCTTCCCTTTTGTGGATTTTTTGGTTTATACTCAACTCCACTGCAAAGTGTTGACTCCTTCCTTATTGATGTTTCTTTGGGTGCAGTTCTGCTTCTTCTCCTCTTCCTCGCTCTTTTTCGGTTCCTGTTTTTTTCCCCTTTTTCCTTCAAAACGCTTTTCGACTATTCCTTGTGCGTAAATGAGCGCCCATCTTCAATTTAACTTTGTTTCATTTTCACCCGCCGTGGCATCTATGCTCTACCCCGAGCCCGTCTGAACCGACTCCAAACATGTGCTGATGGCATAGTTGGAGCCGTTCCTTGTACGACCACCCAAGCTTGAGTGCTGACTGCATGGTTCAACAGGTGACGACCCAATTGACCACTATCCTCAATTGTGCCACACCTTTTTGGAAGTTCAAGTTGCAGCAGCCTGCCCTCGGTGTCATCAACTCCCAAGTTGCTGCCTGGGGGCTACCCACATGCCGTTATCGCGTTCTTTAACCAAGTGGCACTGTCAACTCCAGAATCTTGTCACCCACCTATGCTTGACCAACACGGGTGTGGCGCTCGTGATTGACCTGTACCATTCGTTTGGTTCCCAAGGACGGGCTATGCGGTCCAATCTTGTCAAAGCGGCTAACCAACCTTGGGCTCTCTGCCGTCCTGGGCTTGAGCTGGACATTTGTGGCTTGCAGGTGCTGAACGCGAGCCAACAACGTTGAAGATGGGCATTGGTGGGCAGACCTGGAACGCAAACGTCGGTGTAGTGCTTGTGGGAAAGAAGATGGGCTGAGGTTGGCAAGCCACAGTGTTGGTATGACATATCACGATGCTGTCTGTTCGATTTCATCTGAGCTTACCGTCGTTTTGATCTCGAACCGTTACCCCCTCTCAACCACACCAAAGCCCGACACAATAGAGTTGTCCAAACCAGCTTCACCCACCCAACTACAATATCCAAGAACACGCTGACTCCATCAAATAAGTCTCCCACGAGTAGACGGCGATGGAAAACCTTATCCAGGGCAGTCAGCTCCTTCCGCGAGATCACTTTGCGCATGTCGGTCATGGGGCCCGGAGAGAAGAATGACGAGAAGCTCTCCACTGAGCTAGTCGTGACATAGGCGTCTTCGTCGTTATGTAGGAATGGGCAATGGTTATAGTCTCGAGGTGAGTTCCGGATGCTTAGCTGCATTGGCTCTTCAGTGTCGGTTCTCGACCTGCATCGAACAAGAATGACAACAGATTGATGGTTTAGATGCGGTGTTATCTGACTCATGCACGATACCCACCAGCGCCTGTTAGTGCACTATCATAAGTGCGTGGCTTGTGTCTAATAACCTGTCTGCATCCACTTTCGTTTCCAAGGTAAAGTCCTCTTCACCGTGCTCTTCCCTTCACATTGTCTTTCCCACTTTTCAACTTTCTGTGTCTTTTGGCCAAGCATTCCCCGACCAACGCACCCTTCCCCCCTTTCCGCCTGCATTCCAATTGAACAGAACGCTCCAGCTACGCCATATGCATTGACTGGACGAATGAGAACAGCAACTATACCACCCTCACCGTTGTGGTTGTTGTGTAACCTATCTCATGACCTCCATAGGGTCTTGAACACACCCCTCCTGAGCGACATCATGTCTTGACGTTCTTGACGTTCTAGAACGTCCCGGCTGAAAATACCAAGCTCCACCGCCAGTCAATAGCTTGATCGACTACTGGGATGACTCTGCGGGTTTTAATTATAAATCTCCGCTGGTTCGGGAGCTAGGTTTTTCCCTGTCAGCCACGCGAACCTCTTTGAGTCTGGACTCCGGACCTGTTTGGGCGCTTGACGACCGAAATCGAACGTTCAGGTGGGTGGGACGCTCCCTCGGTTGTGGCGCCCACGTTGAAGCTGAACTGCTAGCTCGGTTTAAGAACGGACTACACGATGGGAATCCACCCTATCACGAGCTGTCTGATTGTTGACTGTAAGGTGGCTTGCAGCTAGTATCGAATGCCGTCGATGGGTGGTATTGGTTGAATACCGAAATGGTGGGATCTTATCGGTCTGCTAGCTTCGATGAACGGGAGCTGAAGTTTTGGAGGTGAGTTGAGAATTTTCATAATCTTCATCTTTGAAGGAGGGTCTTTTTCGTGTTTCTCTTTCTCTTTCTTCCTCCTTTTCGCTGTGCGGCTACTCCTTTCGGGCCCCTACTCAAACTTCCTGAACGTGCAGCAATTGATATCCGAAGATCAAGCTCAGAGTGACAGTCAGAAGCCATGGGATCTCCAGACGACAACGACCCGGCTGGCTACGAAGTCCAACAACAACCGTCCACCCATTCCGCCTCTTTGAAGGATACCTCCAAGACAGAAATAAACGAAGTGACCAAAGATGACGATGTCAAGCCTTCCCCGCCATCATGGAAGCCAGGCGCCCTCAGACAGTTCCCCGTCTATGGCATCCTCCCTTTGCTGTTAAGCATAGCATGTGCGTACCTCTATTACTACCTCTACAGTCCAACCCGATCCACCAACTCAACTCTCTAACATCCATCCTACCATAGGCACCGGCATGGCCATCCTTATCGTCCGCCTCTCCCACCACAAAGACATCGACTCATGGTCCGGCCGCAAGGCACCGCAAGTGCTGCTTTCGTACACGACTACCGTGGCGAACTCCCTCATGGGCGTGGCGTTTGCTGAGGCGGCGGTCATTACCTTCTGGAGGGGCGCGGTGGGCGGGATGCCGGTTAGTAACTTGCATTATGTGTGGGCCAGTTCAAGCAGTGTTGTGGGCGCTTTGACGAGTTTGTGGAGAAGGAGGGCTGTGGGTGTTAGTTTGGTGTCCATCCTCGTGGCCATCTCAACACTTCTGCGCGGTCCTCTGATGCAAAGAGCTACCTATGTCGAACTGGTTGACCTCGAGGAGTGGGACACGATCAAGATCCCAGTTATGGCGAACATGAGCGATGAATGGGGCGGCATGCTCAGCGGGCACGCTTTAACGGACCTGCGGTTTTCGCCTGGTTTTGCGGACGCGGTTGCCAGGTATCAGGCTCAGTCCCCGATGTCGCTTCTAGGAGCTGATTGTAAGAATTGCTCTGTCAATGTGGTGGTAAGTTGTCCCAGGAGCACTCGATGTTTCATGGTCCGAGGTTACTGACAAAGACACCAACAGGCCTTTGGATTCCAAGTCAACTGCACGGCTACGAACGTCCCGTACAATCTCACCGGTAGTGTCGAGGCCATCATGAACGGCACCCTCGGGGCGACAGTGTTTGACTCAAAGATTAGTGTCGTCAACGAGTCGCCAAAGGGAAGTCTGCTGAACATCAGCGTGGTGCGCAAAGTCGATGTTGGATACGAGGGTAACCTGGAACACAAAGTGTGCTTGCTTGCTCCTTCTTTGCTGAACTACAGCATGTTTCTCGATGACAACTTGTTGAGCTTCCAATCCGAGAATTGGTTTGACGCCGAAGCTGTTGAAGACCCTGTTAACCTGCCGCCTGCAGATTCTTTCGTGGCGCCCATGTGAGTTGTTCCCATCTTTCTGTGCTCCCTCTACTCGAATCCGATGTAAACTAACCTCCCTCCCTTTCTTTCCACAGCAACATGACAGTCCCCTACATCACCGGCTTCGGCAGCACGATCCCTGCTCTCCATGCCATGGGCTCCCTCCTCTTCGACTCCACCTCCAACGTCTCCCACGGTGGCGCCGTAGGCTGGACCACTTCCAACTCCGGTCTGCTCTCCAACCTCTACTACACCGCCACCACGCCCGCCGCCCGGCGCAGTTCCGACCCCAAGGATTACTCCTTTGACGATCCCATGGTGGATATCATCAACGCGTACCGCGACATTGCATTTCGCATGTCTTTACAGGCGGCAACCGAGGAAAACGAGGGGTTGTCGGATAAGGACGCAAAGGTTTTCCAGGAGGTGGAGTCGATAAGTCATCAGAGCATGGCCAGGTACGCGATGGACAAGGCGGCGCTGGCGGTAGCGGTGGTGATCAGCTTGATTGGACCCGTGGCTACGTTGATGTTGTTTTGGGGGTGGTGGAAGTTGGGAAGGAGGTTTACGATGAGTCCGTTGGAGATGATCAATGCTGTGCTGGCGCCTGGGGAGGAGGAGTTCTTTGATGATTATGACATGAATGGAAATGATGAAAGGGAGGGACAGTCGGGAGACCGAAACCAGAGGGAGGTGGCTAGGTTGTTGGCCGAGTGTAATAAGAAGGGTGATGCGTCGGGAGCAGATTTGGCGAATCATGTTAGGCAGAACAAGAAGGAGGAGGAGCCGGTGTTGAAGTATGGGGTTGATGGAAGAGGAAAGCTTTCGATGAAGGTGGTGGGCGGTGGTGGTGTAAGGCGGAGGAGGCAGAAAGAGGGGGGCTTTGTCTCGGGGTTGGTGGATGTTTTGTTGAATGATGGGTGAAGGGGTGATTCAAACACCTTTGGTCAGGCGAGAAATCAAAGTGCGAATGAGACGCGATACTATCTAGAATCCCGCTTATATCAGCACGAATCTGTATTGCTTTGGCATCATATCCACTTGTTTGAATCTGCAGAAACTCTGCGTTCTCGATACAGAAAGATTCGAGAGAAACTGCTCCAAGGTAATAGGTGTTGGCTTCTGCGTACTTATCCAGATGTAGACCTCCATGTTAGAGAGACACGAACAACACGATTCCTGCTATGTCTTCAGCACCATTGATCCAACCACAAAGCACTTCATCACCAACTCTCCAACATCCTCCTCAAAACCTCATCATTCATCTTCCACAACTGCGTCGAAAAGTCGATCGCAATCGCATTCCCCGTATACCACGTCCCTCTCTTCCCCTGCAACCCATACATCTCTTCCATCCACCCTCCCTTCATCTCCTCGGCACTAACCCCAAACCCACCCGGTCCATGATCCGAATACTCCACCACCTTCAACTTTTGATCTCCTCCAGGTTCCTTTCCATCAGGTACCTTGACTGTCCCAGCATCAACCATGCGCTCCAAACTCTCCTGCGCCACTTTGGTCGCTTCCCGCTCATCAAATTCCCCATAGCCCAACCCGCTCCCACTAGTCCCAATGCTAAACAGCTTGCTGTCATTACCATAGCTAGCAAACTCTAGGACATGCGGCTCATTGATGAACGGCTTGTTAGGATCGATGGCTGCTAGGATAGGGGTATTATGCAGTTCGTAGCCCCTAGGTAACACTGGCGAAGAGACGATAGCCGTGCCGTAGCGGCCGTATTTAGCGCGGCTAAAGAGATTGGATTCGAGAGAATCAAGATCGAAGGGGGCGAGGTTTTCTTGGGTGGGGGGGATGGCGAGGAGGAGTTTCCTTGCGCGGATCATTGTAGTGGTAGAGGTGGTAGTTGTTGTTGGTTCATTCCTGGAAACATGAAGGGACCTCGAGGTGGTAGATGTCGAGATGGCGACTTCTATGTCTCCTCTCTTGTCATCCGCGTTCTCTGCAGGGCGGCGGACGCTCGATACGAGTGAGTTGAGGAGGACATTTTCGGCTCCCAGACGGGCGTGGATAGCCTCATAAAGAAGCTGGTTCCCTCCCTGGATATGGTACATGCCCACTTGGCCATAGAGGACTTTCATCCACGCTGGACTGAAACTTTGCAAAAAGGTGAGAGTCAAAATATCAGTAAAGGTACGATGGCGAGACGCCGGACCGCCGCCTGTGGATTCATACATCCTCGGTAATGCTTCGGTGATGTTCCATTTCTTGGCAAATTCGCCGATGGGAAGGAGTAAGTCCTCGGGAATTTGAGGACCAGGAGGCAAGTTCCAGAACCCCGGTTCGATCATCTTGTCCCAGCCTTGGGAGACCATGAGGTTGTGGAAGCGGATGATGGCTGAAGTGATGCTGGAGGGGTCGGGGCCGGTGTAGGTGGATGGAAGCTCGAGGCCGGTGGAGAAGTCGATGTTGCGGGTGGTGGTGGAGCCGCGGGGACCGAGGCCGGGGAGGAGAGTCAGGTTGAAGCGGGAAATGAAATCGAGGCCGTCGAGGTAGGGAAAGTAGACTTGGACGCCGTATTCGCGGGGGGTGGGTGGGGTGGTGGAGGTGTCGAGGTAGGTGTCTACGTGGCCGCCCTGATGGCTGGCTGTTAGGTTTGAAAAGACGACAAAAAAGAGAAAAGGAGGGGGAAGGGACTTACGAGGATGGACTCCTTTTCGATCAAGACGATGCTCTTATTGTAGTCCTGTTGGAGTCGGAAAGCGGCATGGGAGCCGGCTGCTCCGCCGCCAATAATAATGACGTCTCGTTCGATGACTTTGGGGGTGTTGACGGTTGCGGCATGTACGCTAGAGAAGCTGGCAAGTACGAGATAGACCTTGTAGAGTCCTTTGAAAGTCATTGTAACTTCCTTTGACAGTCAGCAACTTTTTATACAAGAAAGAGACAAATAGGTCCCAACAAGTTTTGTTGCGACATGCGCTACTCTTATTTGAAGCTTGTATCTAGACCGCTCCGTACAATCAATCTATTGATACTTGAGCGTCAGCATCTCGGCATCCGGCAAAAGCCTTGAGTGCGACACTGCAGTGCTACAGGAATCAGCAGTTGGAATAGTACCTTGTATCCAATAAAGACGGCACACCCACCAGGGACGATTTGTAAGGTCATACGCGTTCCTACCAAGGAGCTAAATGGTACCCATTGGGAGCTCATATGTGGCCAACGGATATAAGAGAACCCAGAATGGCTGTCGGACTTGCGATTCAGCCTGTGTTCATGCCCTGCTGTCCACCCGCAGATGAAGGGTATCTGCCGCTCGTACATGGGCCGACCAACCAGTAATCATATGCGCCCATCCTCGTCTAGAACTTCTCTGTCGGAACATTGGAAACTCCCGTACGCGAGATGGTGGGAGCGTGGAGTGCAAAGTGCAAAGTGCAATACGTCGCTCGAGAGTACTATCGAAAGATGGATAAGATAGGACCTTATCTCCGACACTGTCTAAAAATGAGCCGATGTGTTAGTGATGTAACAGTGCAGTCCCTCTGGAAAATAGCGGTATAGCGGGCAATGGGATTTGCTTGTGAAGATTGTCATAACACTACCACGTGCGATGCTCGACTTTCTGACAAGACGTTGAATGTTAAATAAGCCAGACCGTAGTTTCCTAACCGCACTTGCCAATGATGACCGAGGCTGCGTATGCCCTATCTCGTCGGTGTCCTGCTTTGCTCCTCCCAACACCTAAGTCGGGCGATTTCCAAGGCTGAGTTCTGGCACTGGAAGTACACCTGGCGGTCTGTGATGGAGATAAAAAGGGGTTGGGCGCCATAAGAAAGTGTAGAGTACCAATGGTCAAGATAACCAGTTGGTTGGAAAATCAGGTGGAGCAGGAACTTAGATGTAGCCTTAACATGTTGAAATGTACAGGTGCGATGAAAACAATAGTGGAATAACATTTCTCCTTCATGGACATAAACAATAACATCTTCCACAACTGCAGCAAGTGAGTAAGGAGTGAAAGGAACTTACAACGTGCTCTGGTATCAATACTCAAAACCTTTCACATATCCGAATTCCATAATCCCATCATGATAGTCTCACGCCCAGCCTGGACACCAACATGGACAGACCGCCTCCTCCAAGTCCGCCTTCTCCCCCGCCAAACTCCCTCCACTCCCTAAAACATCAAGCTCCCCAACATAACACCCCCCAACATCGGCGCCATCAGCGGCAACCCCAATCCCCCTCCATACCCAACCGGCCTCATCGGCCTCGCATACGGTCCCTGCGGTCTCACGTACGTCCCCCCTCCCACCGGTCTAGCACCATACCCCGGATACCCACGTGCACCATATCCAGATCCAAACCCATACATACTCCCCTCAGGCCTCAAATACCTCCCCAGTGGTCCCGGCAGTCTCGCATTCCCACTCCTTCTATCCCTCTCATAAAACACCTCCGACAACCACGGCGTCAGAGGCTTAACAGCCACCACGCCGGGATACATCTGCCCCGGCGGCTCAAGGTACAAGTCCACGCCATTGTCGTCTTTCCCCAAAAGCTGCGGGCGCGAGGTCTCCATCGCTTTCGCCATTGCCCGACGCACGAGGAGGTGTTGTCTGAGAGCTTCGCGCTCGGCTCGGTCGCGGGCGGCGCGGGCTTCTACGCGCTCGGAGTGGGTAGTCCCTGTGAGGGCGTCTTTGAGTTTACGGCCTAGGGATTTCCCTTGTTCCTCCTCTTCATGTTGCTGCGCGTCTGCTCGTCTCGGAGAGCGTGGGGGTTGTGGGCTATGGGCTCTGGAGGATCTTGATGAGGTAGGACGAGACGTGGAATGGTTATCCCCGGACCCAGAGTGCTGATGTTTCAACTGCTCGATACGGGTGCGCTCGGCGGGCGGTAAAGAGTTGAGGAAGAGATCGTCGTCGTAGGGGTGGTGCCAGATGGAGCGGATGGGGTCGGCTTGGGTGTCGACGAAGAACTGGTGGTTGGTTTCGGGGTCGTAGGTGCGTACCCAGCCTGGAGGGAGAGGTCGGAGCTCGTCTTCCATGCTAAGGCGGGTTGGGGTCGGGATGCCGTCGTGTCCGTGGTGGCGGTCGTCGTCGCCGGGGACGTGGAGGAGGTTGTCGGTGTGGGGGTGGGTTTGTTGGCCGCCGCTGCTCGTGCCCGGTCGTGATGAGGTGTCGCTTGTGCCTGGACGAGTATCGCGCTGACCTGAACTTGCCATGGCTTGCTCGTACGAAGGTGGTGGTTCTTCGCGGTTTGACATTGTGATGGTGTCGCTGATTAGGTAAGGGTTACAGGGCTGTGTTCTAGGTTCGGTAGTGTAGTCAATATGGAATGTCGTCGGTGGTTATAGGGTAGGCAGATGAAGAGGTGGTGATCTTTGTTGTTTGGTGGTCGATGAGGTCGGAGGAGGTCGTTACGTCAGAAGTCAATACGTCATTGTCACGCGCGGCACGATGTGCACAAAGAACGAGCAAAGGATGCTGCCTAGTACCACAGCATTTGCTATTAAGACAGTGCCATTTTCCCAAATGCCCGAAGTAGAACGTTACAGCGCTTGAACCGAGGACGCATATGCACTTTTTATGCTTATACACTGTTATTCTAGTACTTTACGTTGAGGCACTTACACAGCGTTCAAGCCCCACAAATGACGAATGCCCAGGCAGTCATTCAATGTCAACAACAACAACAATTCATCACGGAACCAAACAAACATCACCGTTCATAGCCTGCGAACAATTGGCGGGTGCGCGACGTTTCCCAGCTGGAGATAAAGTTGTCTTGTAAGGCGACCATCATGCCGTTCAGGGGTTGTTGACATTCTAGGCCTGCCCCGACAACATTTGCACAATAAGGATCATAAAGATGCACACTCGGACACAAAGACAAGAGTCAGTATAAAGATGATGTTTTTTTTGGGTTTTAATATGTTACTATGTACAGGTAGTACTAATCAACAACCCAATCATTTTCCGAGTCCTCCAACACCACCAACATCAGCCATTGTGCCATACCTATCCTCCAAGTCAAACAGCCGAAGTGGACAAACTTCCTACTCCCCATTCCTCCATCAAGTCCGTCCTTTGTTGAAAAGGTTCGTCCATCCATCACCAAAAATCCTCATAATCATTCGTCTTTCCCGAACGGGCTTGGTCGGCTATTCAAGAGCTCTGGCCGGCCTGAATGGAAATCTTGCGACTCCCCTTCTTCTCCGACTTGGGCACCTTGATGTTCAAAATCCCATTCTCAAACTTGGCATTCACATTATCCTGATCCACCGGAGTCGGGAAGTTGAACACCCTCCTGAACTCTCCATAGCTGCGCTCGCTCAACCAGTACCTCGGGGTGCTAGGCTTTCCCTCCTGTTGTTCCTTCTGCTCCTTTTGCTCCTTTTGCTCCTTCTGCTCCTTAGTCTCCTTCTGTTCCTTCTGCTCCTTACCACCACCCTCAATCTTCTTACTCTCCGCCGGGCCGCCCAGACGCAAGTTGGGGTCTCCCTCGGTATGGGTGCGCTCGACGCGGCCCGAGATGACGAGGGTCTGCGGATCAATGAACTCGATGTCGACGTTCTTGGGGTCCACGCCCGGCAGCTCGCCTTGGAGGGTGTACCCGGAGTCGTCCTCGGTCACGTCGAACTTGGGGTTGAAGGTCTCGAGGACGCCGCCGGTGGCGCCTGTTGAGGGCAGAGAAGGAAGGAGGGAGGAACCGAGGTTGGTCGGGATCAGGGAGCCGCTGCTGACTTGTTGGGCGTACTTCTCAAAGTCGTCGAGCATGCGGAAGAGAGAGGAAAAGGTGGGCTGGTTGCCGAGGGAGGAGGAAGGGTGGGAGAGGGCGGAGCGCGGGTAGAAGAGAGACATTGTGGATGAGATTGGTCGGGTTTGTTGGAGCTGTGGTTGGTGGCGGGTGATTGAGCGAGGAAGAAGATGGTGAGATCGAGTGGTAGAAGTGGTTGTTGGTTTGGTGATTCTCAAAGGGATGGCGGTTGGAATTCTTCGCATGGTGCGATGAGGCTTGTTGATGAGGAGGAAGGGAAGAAGACAGGACGGGGGGAGTGAGGTAGGCTTTATACTTGTCGTCTGTCGCCTGGATAGGTGCTGGGATGCGAGTAGGTATCTTTGGTGGTGGTCATTGCGACATCATTTCGACGGACTGGGTTGTTCGTCATAATGGCCCGAGGGACTATGCAATGCGGGCTGGACTCCGACCTGTCACAGCTTCTCCGCCATGCTCATGCTGCGACTTCCGTCTCGTCCCAATTCTGTCTGTGGTGGTGTTGGCGGGGTTGTGCGGGTGGTGGACAGGGAAGGAAGGATCTGGAACGGCCGTGCGATGGCCGTTTCTCGTGATACGAGCTGCGTGGGTGTTCAAGATGACTTCATCGACCATGATACATTTGGAGCTCTGAAAGTTGAAAGTGTTTCAACGGAACTTTTTCCCGACCATCCTGGAAAGCACATGCCAATCGAACGATACCGAATAACGGTCTTGGTGTTTACGAGTGTCACGAGATATGCCACTCGTGCTTCATAACAGCTTCTCAGTCGCTAGCGATTTCCCAAGAATTGAGGTGACCACAGATTTTGGAATTTGTTCTTTCAATCTCAACGTGTCTGAATCCATCAAGGCCCGACTTGACACTTTCTGGTAGTATAATTACGGTTGTCAATTTTCGTCTTTGGTCTCGAAGTCCCGTCTGCTAAATTGCAGCAGCAACCATCTCAATGCTATAAAGTCTTGGCAACTGTCTCCGGCGCATTCAAGTCTTTCCACGAGCTCGGGAACTGCATGTGCCATTGATGTAACCATTTCGACGCATCAGCGCATCATCGACCCGACCTTATCGAACGTTATCGAATCGTCAACGAACATCGAGACTCAGCTCGAACGAATCGTCTGCTTTACAACCACGAAGTCATGTATGAAAATGCGAGAATCTAGTCGAACATCGGGACACCGCTTGCATTGTATACTACTCGTCGACGGAGCAAAATCCCCGGGAAGCAGAAGGAGATGCGTCGCCCACGAATCCACATCTCCGGGGGACCCACTTTTCCCCGGCCGTCCCCCCCGCTCCCGTCGGTAACTGAAGGCCAACCGACCTGTGTCAATGCGAATACCTTCTTCTGTTTACAGTCACTACTCCTACCAATTCCATTACATACCTACTCTCCTTCCGTACCTCCCATCGGTTCAAATAAACACCGCCATCACTCCCAATGTCTTCCTCCCATTCGCTCTCAATTGCCTCTCTACACTACCCTCAAACTGACAATACCAGACTGCCCGTGACATCGAATCGAATCGACTCAACGCATCATATCATGATGGGCGCTTCCATAGTAATCGCTCGGTTTAGATGGACGGATGGATGAGCACTGTGTGTAGGTAATCATGCAGTGGACGGTCATTACAGTATGTCCTCCACCGACCGACTCGGACAACTGTTGTCTTGCCGCCTTCCCGCCTTCGTGCTTTCCTGTCTTCCTGTCGGATACGAGGTACCCATGGGTGGCTCATCCAAGTCGAACACTCATTCCTTCTAGTCGGAATCCAATTCGGCGTCGTAACTTCCTGAAACTTCCTGAAAGTGCCGATGTCTCCCTCTTCCCTCCTTCCTCGGGGGCACTGGACCTCCAGGACAGAAAGCTCCAGTTCCTTCCATATAATGATCCGGTTTCAGAAGGTCAGATCCTGCACTGGAAGTTTGTTCAACGGGGCGGTCGGGCCCATCCTTAATTCTTTCCATTCACGCTGTGTGTCCCATACCCGTCGCCCGTGTTGTGAAGCTGAGGTTGGAAAGCAGGACCGCTAACTCCAACAACCTCGAGTGCAACTTCAACCATTTCTGGCCGCCCACAAATTTGGGCAATCACTCACTACAAACTTGAATGACAATCCATCACCAAAGGAAACAAAGGAGGGACTGAATGAGGTATTTGTATGAGTCTCATTTTGTATCTACTCGATCTAGTAAACCTGTCTGTCATATGTACTCCATCTGTCCATGTCCACACCCTCACTCCTATGTATAACCCATCGTATCTCAACCCCCTCTTTTTGCCCTTGATTCTCCAATTCCATTGATATCCCTTCATCAAAGTAAGGAGCGTATCTTTATAAGCGTAAGTAAAAAAAACGCAAACGAATCCATGCAGAGAACGACAAAGCCAGAAAAATATATATGTGCAAGAGAAACAGGCTTTCTGCAAGAAGCAACAAGAAAAGAAAACCGCACCAAACACCAAACCCTTTCTAAACATCCAAGCACCATTCAAGGTCGGTGACTGATACCTCCAACTATCCCACCCCATCCCATCGATTTGCACCACATACTTCTCACAGACCGGGTTCAAATTCGAATCGAATCAATCAAGAGTCAAACAAAGCGCCATAAGCAGGCACCCCCCGACTCTCCAACCCGTACACCACCTTCTCCGTAACCTTCTGGTTCGAAATGATCACCACCGCCTCACACGGCTTTCTCGCCTCGGGCCTCACCAGCTCCTCAGGAAAGATACCGTTCCTACTCTGCTCCCACATGCGATACGCTACCTTGACCAAATCGGGCCTGCCCGTCTTGCGAGTATCAATCACCACGGCCGCGGGGTCCGTCTTGTAGATCAGATCCAGCAGCGAGCGCCCGAACGTCTGCAGCGGGTTGGGCGTCGACCAAATGATGCGCACCGGATGATCGGGACGTTGCGTGAAAAGAGACAAGCACGGGGCGATGCCGGATCCGGTACCAATGACGATGACAGGGGAGAAGAGACCAGCGCAGCGCATGACACCGAATTGAGGAGTGCCGCGAGTGTAGATTTGCTTGGGAGGGCGGTCAATGATCTTGCGAGTCCAGTCGCCGGCGTGCGAGACAATGACAGAGAAGCCCTTGTCGCCGCCGTGGGAGAGACGCTGGAAAGGTTGGCCATCGATGGCGCTCTTCTCGTCGGCAAGTTCGGCGGCGGTGGGAGCGAGCGGGTGGGGGATGACGCCAAAGGCGTGGGTTTCCTTGAGGGGGGCGTCGGTGAGGCGGACGGCTTGGCCAAAGTAGACATCGCGGTATTCGAAGTTGAGCTTGACGCAGTGGGGCGAGAGGACTTCGGCTTCGACGTTGCGGAGACGCATGCGCGACCAGGGGTAGGCGATGAGGAGGGTGGTAAAGAGGAGCATCCACCAGGCGGCGTTGCGGACCAAGAAATGACCGAAGGAGTGGTGAGGAGAGGATCTGTTGGAGGAGTCGGCGGTCTCCAGCATGATTTGGGCCCAGAACAGGCCGATGACAGTCCATCCCATGAAGCGGTGCGTGTTCTCAAAGGAGTTGTGCATCAGCACACGGATGCGGGGGTGCGCAAAGATGAGCATGACCACGAGCATGGCGATGATGGAGTAGCTGAAGAGGTAGATGTATCCGCGGATGGCATCGAGGGGACCTTCCTGGTGGGAGCGGAAGTCGATGGTGAGCAGAACGAGGTAGATGACATACCAGAAGGTGGCAGCCACGGCACCGCCCGAGTGAAGACCGCCATAAGAGTAAATCTTGGCAGAAAGGGTACGGGCCCAGAGAGGAAGCACCTTGGCCCAGGTACCAAAGACCCAGAACATGGCGTTGACGACGTGCTCGTTGCGGACGACGAGGGCCATCAAGAGGTTCGCAGTGACGGCAGTGGCAGCTTGTTGATAGTTCAGAATCGGGCGGTTCTCGATACCCGAGCGGATGATGAACCACAAGACCGCGGCGGCGTTACCCAAGAAGGCCAGGCAGAAAATGCGGCGGTAGACAGACCCAAAGTTCCATCGGAGGTACCGATAGAGGCGGTTGCCTTTCTTGGGCGGCAAGGGGGAGGCGTCTAGACCGTGGTACACAAGAGGGTCGATATCAGGGACGAGCTGGCGGACCCGGACAGCGGACTTTTCGTTGTGTTTCTTGGAGTCAGAGAGGCCGGTGGAGCTGGAGGCATGGGAGCCGGCTGCGTAAGGAGTGTTGGCAACTGTGGTGCCGCCCGATTCGAGATCGGGGTTGGACTGGCGAATGGAGTCATCGCTTTCATCCTCGGACTCGCAGTCGTCTACCTCTTCGACGAAGACCTCGGACTGGGCCGGATGGGCAGGTGTGGGCTCAGCGGGCTTGAGCTCCTGGCTGTAAGGGGAAGCCATTGCGAAGTGAGTGTGTTGAAGTGTTGCTTCTGGTGTGAAACTCTGAAAGTGAGGTGTCCAGAAGAGGAAGCTGTTGATCCTCAAACGCAAGATGCTGATGCTGATATCGGATGGAAATAGAGTATGGATGGGAAGAGAAGTGCAATACTTTATACCTTGATGGTCACCATTGTAACCTTTGGTGATATCTACCATGAGATACCACGATACCGGCCCTCCGGAGACATGGAAGAAAGGAGTGTAAGGCAGGTAGACCAAGTCAGCCCATGCTTACTCTGGCCAGCCGCAATAGTGGAGGACCATGACATGCCCGTCTACCCGGAGACTCGAAGAGTGTACCGAGAAAGAAATCGGCAATGGAATCACTGATGTTGGATAGGGCGGGGCGCTTGTGTTGGATCCCAGTCATGATGGGGTCCACCAGTCTCAGGTGTACTGCGTAAGAATCAGCTCGATGATGCCAAGATGTTGTGAGTGTGTCACTTTTCCGAGTAGACAAGATACGTTGTGGTGTGGGATGTACCTCGACATGTGATGCATCTTTCAGATGCAAGCAAGAGACATGTTGAAATCGTTTATCGATCTTTGTGTGCGTGGACGTTGACATGGGGGACCAACGTGGGATGGGGGCGTGTTCGATGGCCCGCATATGGAATAGCTCGTTTGATGACACCCGGTTGGTGACCAAGCGGAACAAAGAGTTTGGGATCCAGTTGGGGATGGAAAAGGTGACTTTGGGTATACGTGCCGGACAAGGACTGAAAGAGGCTCAAAAGGGAATAACAGTATTGCACATCCTGGCCGCTACCACCGAGGCATGGCCCTTGTGCTATGGGGAATCTCTGGAGGGCAAGGGTGAAAGGGTTGCATATTCCGCGAGGTTGAAATTTGTGTGGATCAAGGTCAACCTTGCTGACCTTGCCTTGCCATTCTCGCTTTCACGTCCATCACGATCGATACAAGAGAGAGCCCGCTGGCCGGCCGAAGGGAAGGAATATCATGGAGAGCTACTGGCTCATTCACGATGTCAGGGTCTTTTGCTGGTATCACCAACATGTGTTCAGGTACCAGACAAAGACTGACAGACAAGACATACCGAGAGAAGGTTCCATGGTCGGCATTCTAGCGCCACAACCGAATTCCTGAGCGGGAAGCAAAGCAGACAAAGCCGCCAGAAAGACGTAGCAAAGGTACAACGGCTTTCAGTGTGTGAGATGGTGGCTTGAACAATGGAAGCCGTGACAGAAATGTTGTACATGGGTGAATCCGGAGGATACATGATCCACAAGGCCTGATTTAGTATCACATTGTACCACTTGGAGATGGGATGCCGTTGGATACCACCCGTCTAGATGTGACTTTGGTGGGATGGGGGACATGTCTGGATGGGGATAACACGGACACAGACATGCGTGGTACAGGTACAGACAGGGCAGGTCGGGTATGTCTGTCACACCAAATATGGAATGTCAGGTACAACAAGAATAAGGAATTGGAATTTGTGCTGCTGCTATCAAGACGGTAAAAGAAGGTTGAAGCGTGGCTGGTTGCAGTGCAGATTTCAATCGAGAAACTTGTCTGCATGAATGACCGAGATCCAGTTGGCTTGCAACATGGATTTGGACCAATCCCGGGCATCCATCAGACGACACCACGCTTGTGAGTTCATGTCGTGACTGGGTTTTGTTTGACATCGGGAAATGGTACTGGACCTGATGCTTCAGCCATTGGTGCCCCTGGTACTTCCAGCAATCGCGGGGCATGTGAAGAGTGTATAATGTGCCTGCCAGAATGGTGGTGATGGCTCATGTTGTCGTGGTGATGTTGGATGCTCAAGACCCCGCACCGCGCAATCTGGGAAACTTGTCCACTGCAGTGACCACCTTGGAGGGGTCGATAAAGATACAAGTGAACCCAAAGAAAGCGACACTTTTGCTCTGTAGAAAGAATGCTCCATGGCTGATGAAAATTCGATGAATTGGTAATTCCCGCTGGCCCGTCCGAAGGATTGTTGAAGGTGATGTTGACTGAAGTGTAAGCATTTGTGTTTTGTTGTTGTTGTTTTTTTTGCAAAGGTCACAGGCATCGATTGGAAATTTGGAATTGCAGAACTAACTGCCCGAGCAGGGCGACAAGCAATCCGTAGTGGGGCCAGACAGCAGGCTGACGGGCCGCCAGACAGGCAGCGTGGACTGTCAAAGATAACGATAAGCAATTGACAGACCGGCAACGACCTGTGCGCAGTCTGTCGGGTGTGTCTGGGGTCAGCAACTTGACAGTTCGGTTCGCATGGATCCACCCGTGCTTACTGCCCCGGCAGACACTGTAAAGGCACATCTTACAGCGACAATGCCCGATCTAAACTCGCTCCATCATTCCTGTCATCACATCTGGGGGATCAAAAAGCTTATTTGCTTTGGGACCATTCATGTCGCGAGAAACATTGACAAATACCACATGTTCCTCCACCTCTCCAGTTCGATGTTCGATCTCGCCGATTCCTTCGAGATGCCCGCGGTTCGATGACTCTATCGACTCGCTGTCATGGATAGCTCCAGCCTCTGCCTCGACATGACAATTCAACACCAAGCCAAACATCACGGCTCAGCTATGACAGTCGACGGCCATACCATGTTTGCTGACTGTAGCCATCCAAGCCGTTAGTCATGTCGACGATATTCTTAGGCTTCGTTCCCGACAACGTTAGTAACCCGAGACATGGCTTGCGCCTCCTCGCCCAGCCGCTAGGAAAAGCCATGTCGTTGTCATGAAGCGCCACAGTCCCAGCCCCAGGACATCCCGATACAAAGGTGCTCACTCGGATTTTGGCTACTGTTGACACAAACCGTTCGGAGTTTAGCATCTCTGGGACATAGGGCAATCTGGCTGGGTGCCATCGACGATGAGCTATCCCAAACTGGCTAGTATGGGACGTATCATCACCGTAACCCTCCAGGGACCACCAACTTGAAGTCGGACAAGCCAGCCCCCACGCCCACGCGGGAGACAATGTTCGCCGTGGCTTCCATCACGGTTCTCGAATCACGAATCACATCAGCCTCGACAATCAGCTCCTTCACATGCTTCCGTCACCAGTCACCATCGCCCTCTGGAACACCCTGCTCCCATTGGCCATCTTCCATTCCAAATATCGGTGCGGCTCCAGTGTCATTTCCATTTTCACCTTCCTCTTTTCGGCCCCCCTGTTTAATAATTCAAGATCAGGCACCCCACGATGCGTCTCTGCAACCTTGACGGCCGTTGTGTACATACTACGATCTGTAGCGGCGATAACGTCGGCCATGTACACTAAGACATAGCATCCAACGCTTGAAAAAAAATCGATTCTCAATGCAGCAATGCTTACACCTCTGCGGCCAGCATACGGACTTGTCAATATTCATTGAAGAAATGTAGTACAGTACCTTACATCTTGTCTCAGCCCTGATATGCAACGTTCATATTTTGGCTTGACTTGACTTGCATTCGCGTTCTCAACACCGTTCAAGCCATCTGTACTCGGTGCTGTGCTGTGGTTCACTTCTGTCAGGATGCCGCAGGATGATACCTGCCACCGATACGGAGCACAAACTCCGATGCCGGGACCCCCGATCTCACCTTCACTGCTCACCTAGGTGACTCCGGCTAACATTCTGGATTCAGTGCCGCTCTCTCTGTCAAACTCGGCGTCGAACCCAGTGTTTTCCATGATTCCACATCATCGTATTCTCGACCGAAGGATTATCTGACACTCTTTTTGCTGATGCTTCGGCCCGTCTGCTAGCACGCCTCGCGTCTTCGGGCCCATTTCATGGGCTCGTAAACGCGAGGCAAAACCCGAAAAGGATCGATAACCCTGCTGCTGTGGAAAGTTTCTCTGCAGCAAATCGCATCCACCACTGTATTGTCATGTTACCTTTCCCATATCAACAACTCCGGTAACGCCGCCAATTTTTTCCTTTCTCTCATATTTTAGAAATGGTGCAAGTGTTGTTCAACATGTCACCACCTATTGCCTTCAATTATTTCCATGGTACTGAGCCAAGTTCCATTGCAAAAGTGACACATGCGCACACATACACTTTATCATTCCCATGTGCATGATACACAGTACGTATGCCACCTCCTCATTATGGATCTATAAATTGTACTTATTCCCACCCAAACTGCCACCCCTCTTCTTCAACACCTTCTTTCTACGTGATTTTCAAGAATATCAAAGTTACCATGATGGTTAACCGGTGTGTTATCGATGCTACCTACCAAGGCAAGTTCCGTGTGCAACACATTCCACATCCCACCTTCAATACCCTCAAGTTTTTGCATGTGGCAATATTACCCGCTTTTAAACAAGAATTGTCGACTTTCTTGTTTTCAGGTTACTCTACTCTACGTGCCAAGAGGTACAAAAGCGGCAGGTATGAATGCTTCCCGAGACTCCCTCTTGCTTGGCAGATATCACTTATCAGCAATCTTTGCTTGCTCGTCATATGCAATTCTCTTGCAAAGACTGCGACTGTTCAGTTCCCCTCATGGAAATAACCACGGAAAAGATGTTGGATGGGTGACGACTTCGGGATGGACCCAATGTTGCATGTTGACCACGAGACGGCAGATCCAAGCATGGCTGTGGCTCAGCAAGCAAGCAGTCCATCGATCAGTCAGCACCTTCAACTCCTTGGTGTACTCGTCAGGTCTTCAAAATCGACCGTCTGACTAGTGGGCGAGCCACTTGTCAGGGACGTTGATTCGTATATAGACATTGATTCGTACCGCGAGAGCGATTTGTACGGGCTAGGCAAAACCCTTAGCGCCAAAGTCGCCCACGCTAAGCTGGTCAGCGAGGTTTACCTGCATATACATATGGTTTAGGTTCATTTTACCTCTCCGAGCTGAATGTCCGATGCACGTAGACCATATACAATCCCGGTAGAAGAATCCGGTTCGAATCAACGTCCCTGACTAGTGGCTCGCCCACTAGTCAGACGGTTGATTTTGAAGACCTGACGAGTAGTAGCACCAGACCGGATTGCTTAGTGGGACGTGCCTGCTTAGCTCTACTATGACATTTGCGTGGAGTGAGTGCGGGCCGTCTTTGTTTACGCGCAGCTTTTTGTGTCATGTTGCGGAGCGTGAGGGTAGAGGGTAGTCTAGGCGGGCAGACGGACACCCAGGTGACGGGATGTGCGGATTCCGGAGCGTGCGGGGTCTGGGACGGTACGGGACGGGACGGGACGTGTGGGGTCGGGTCACTGAAAGTCAGTGCGGGGCCCGCGCTCGTAGTGACCGGGACCGGAGGGAAGGTGGGGTAGTTTTGGTCCATCCTCACGGTGGGTTAGACCTGCCGTGATTTGGACTTTTAGTTTCGCAGTGCAAGATGTCCTGCGTTCTTTCCCTCTCTGCTCTATTTTCACGATAACTGCCCGGGAAGCAATGTTGTGCGAATGGAAGGTCCGATACTTCTAGGCAACCGTCGCAGGGAAATTGCTGCGGCTGGTGCCGCCAATCAGCGGGCTTTTTCTCGCCTCAGCAAAGAAGTAGACATTGATGCCCAACTGCCTTGGCCTTCAAAATTGGAAAGGGATTTTCCACTCCTCTCCTTGCGCAACAACAGAACCTCCACCATCTAGTTTGATCTCGGAGCTCTGTCTTGTCAGGTTGTCTTTCTACTGCTGGCATTCCCACCAGCTTTCTTACTCTCCCTGAGCAGGCAGGCAGGCTACCATGCCACTCTCGTTCAAGGCCGGGTTTCTCGCTTCATTGTTCCGCCGTCCAGCGGACATAATGGCGGCAAGAAAAGGCCTACCCATCTCTACGCCTACTGCAGTCCATCACCCATCATCCGCTGGGGCCGATATTGGCCAGAATGCTCCAGTCGATGTACCTAATGCCCCTCCTTCACCCACGGAATCTGGCCCAGCTGCCGAATCTCTTTTGTCCCCTAACCGTACCCCCACCCAGCTAGGCTCTGCCCTTGAGTTGGGTAGTCGTCCTAAGCAAACTGAACCTAGTCCAACTGCCACCGCTAGCGATCCTTCCGGTGGTGATGTCAACTATGACCCAGGATACACAGACAACGACAACCTGTGCGAAACATGTCACTGCCTACTTGAACCTGACCTTGAACTTGAAGGCTGGGAAGTAGAGGTAGAGCAGCGTTTACCATCACGCTACCATTGCAAACTTACCTCCAAAGATACTACGAATATGACTTGGTCTGGCAATTTGAAGAGCAGCCTTTTCAACGACAAATGTCCTCTTTGTCGCGAGCTGCTTTGCGGTTTCGAGAATGAGATAGTCTCTCAACATTCTACGCGGGGTGAAATTAGTGTTGCCAAAACTTTAAGGTACCAGGAGTTTCGGGAATGCTTCGTGATTTCGCTTGATGTACACGATACTCGTTTGGAGTTTGTGAGGCAGAAGGCGAGTGTCAACCTTGACCCAGAGCACGGTATGTTTTATGCTGATTTTACGTAATATCCTATTACCGGTGCTAACATGCTGTTGTTTACAGCATATTATCCGTGGAGTGATTATTCCCCGTGTGTCGAGTATTATCCGGCACCGCAGTTCATAGGAAATCCAGGCCCTTTTGGATCAGACACAGGTTCAGATCGTAGCTGGCAAATTGCGAGCAGCTGGATGGCCAAATGTCTATCGAGCCATCACGAATGTACCCAATCGCAGAGTGTGGCCCCGCCACTCCCTACAAGAGTTATTGATGTTGGGTCTGTGGGTGAGCCTTGTCTACCGCGCCTACATGTGGTGACCGAAAACACTCCAGGTCGGTATGCAACCTTGAGTCATCGTTGGGCATCTCGAGGAATGCTGAAACTGGAGGTCAACAACTGTGAAGATTTCCAACGTGAAATCCCTTGGAAAAATCTACCAAAGACCTACCAAGATGCCATAGAGGCAACACGGCGCCTGGGAATTCGGTACATTTGGATAGACTCCTTGTGTATCATCCAGGACTCCCCGGATGGGAAGGACTGGGTCGCCGAGTCAGCAAAAATGAAGAGCGTGCATGAGAACTCGCACATCAACTTCGCCGCGGCAGATGCCATGGATTCCACACAGGGTTGCTTTTTCGAGCGAGACCCTTTCTCCATCCGCCCACTTCGCCTTCGTATCGACTTGGAACGCAAATCAGGATACTACTACGCCGCAGGATCTCACCGGTTTGCATACAACGTCGCACCGGCCCCTTTGTACCGGAGAGGATGGGTTTATCAGGAGCGAACACTGGCTCCTCGCATCATCCACTGCTGCGCCAAACAGCTGTACTGGGAGTGTCTCGAGAGTATTGCCAGTGAGAGCTTTCCCAATGGGTTACCGCATTCTATAGAATGTACTACGGAGTTGCGTCAATGCGAATGCAATATGTGGCAAAGAATACGACATCCAGCATCATACATAAACAGGTCGAAGGATGGCTCCAGTCCATCCTTCAACCAGTACTTTGACTCCTTGATTCTATGGAACAGAGTAGTGTCCCAATACCAAAGACTTGACCTCACCTTCGAGAGCGACAAACTAGTAGCTATATCCGGGTTAGCAAAGTTACATTCGAGGTATCTCAACACCCGATACCTTGCTGGACTGTGGCTTGAACATCTGCCCATGCAGCTTCTCTGGTACAGGGATTGGCGGGAAGACCCCGATACTAGGTCTTACAACGAGTACATAGCTCCAAGTTGGTCTTATGCCTCTTTCCGTGGCCCTATACAGCCGCCGGCAATTTTCGGGTCGCGGCATTTTCTGGAAAAACCAGAACAAGAGTTGTATCGGCCCATCATTCAGATTCTAGACGCTACCGTCGCCTTAGTGGATGAGAACAATCTATTTGGAGTAGTATCAGGGGGAGCATTGCGTACAAAGGGCCCTTTGGTGAATAGCTCACTGATAAAAGCCTGTTCGTTTTCCAAGACTACAACACCCTACCAAATGGTAATTACCTATACGAATAGATGGAGCAAGAGACGGCTGGGAGAGTGCTACATGGATACGACGCACTATTATCGACAGCTGGAGACCAAGCAAAAGCCGATTTACTTGCTTCCTGTTATGTTGGACATGTCTTTCTTTGGGGGATGGGACAAGGAGAGTGTCAGTGGTTTGATGCTACAAGAGACGACTGACGAAGATACGTTTCGAAGGGTTGGGGTGTTTGTAGTCGAAAGGCCTCGTCCTACACCTATGGAGATGGGAGTGGAGTCAGTGGATGCATGTGGCGTTCGGATGTTGCAAGAAGCTTGTCGCTCTCAGAATGGGCTGGATGAGGATGGTGAGTTCCCTGTGTGGGGGAAGTTTCGGACTATCACTCTCGTTTAACATGTACTCTTTCTTTGTTTTGTGTTTTTCATTGTTTGATATTCTTCGTTCTCCTTTGTGTGTTCTCTCCTTGGTACAGCTCAACGTCAAGTATGCTTCAAGCGTTCGTATTCCTTCCTTTGTACCTAGAACAACCAACTGACCCAGACTTCAAACACCATGTCCCGACTTTCAGCTGTTATTGACTAAGGTAACTTCCGCTAGTTGCCTAATTTCAAGATACCCCAGCAGAGCTCTCGAGATGCCTGCTTCATTGAACCTAAGAGGCTATCAATTTTCCTCTTTTCCTCTCACCACTCATCCGGAAATCCTTGCATACATTGAACCGGAAAAACACCCACCTTTCTCTATGAAGTACCCGAAAACACTCAACACCAGGTCCAAGCTCACGTTTACGTGCTCGACTGAACTTGAACACTGCGTATTACCGGCGCAGCTGGGATGGAAACTGTGCCTACCTACCAAGGCAAAAAGCTGTCGACGCAACGCGTATTTCGATAAATTTGTTTGTCGTCTAATCTCATCTCATCTACCTCTAGATTCAGATCACGATGTTGCTGGCCGGCCGTAGCCTCTCCTCGCAGCTACCTCTATAAATCAGTGTAGAGGTACTCACCTTCAGAGGAGCCAAATCGTCTTCCTTCTTTCTCCATGTGCACCAACACACAACATAAACCAACTTCACTCACAGTTACCACAACACCAACAGCGCGCTCGCCATCTCGCAGTTTCCAACTCCTCTCCCCCGTCCCTGTCCTTCAGCATCATCCAGATCACTATCCTTTGCCTGCTCTCGCCATCGAACCAGCGGTCACTTACTCCTCGATCACAATCACCTTGACCTCAGCCGACCGAAATCTTAGGGAGTCAAGATGACCCCAACCAAAGAAGAACTCGACCGCGCCCTCAACGAAATCAAAGCCACCTTCCTCTCCAGAGAAACCAAGCTCGCCAAAGCCTACGCCGAGCACCCCGATCCGGACGCGTGGTATTTGAACTCTATCAGCTGCCTTGCTAAAGTCGCTGCTGGACCGCCGCCGTTGCCCTCTACCGCTGGTCACAAGCAGCCAGCAGCTGGGGTTGGAGTTCGACTTGGAGTTGAAGCTGAAGTTAAACCTGAGGCGGCAAACGATAGTGGCGGTTGTAATGTGACTGCGGGGATGGGTACTACGTCTAGAAAGAGACCTAGGGTTCAAGTTGAGGATGGGGGCAGCAATGGTATCAGCAACGGCACTGGCACAGGCAAGAAAGTGAGGGTTGTACAATCGCCCGAGTACCAGAACACCTTTGGCGGTCCGGAAAATACTACGATGACTGGTAAGTTTTGTTTGTGTTCTTTGCTGACTTCCAGTCTTGTCCGTCCGTGTCTGGTGGAATCGAGCTAATTGACTGACCTCTATGGACAAGTCAGGAACAGGCACCCGTTGGATAGTTCCGGCTTGACCAGTGATATGAAGGTGGAGGTAAAAAGGGAGGAAGAGGAGATGGAGACAAGGAACAAGACTGCAATGGTGCCGCAGGAAGAGGCTACCACGCAGGAAATACAGGAAAGACCGGAAAGACCAGCCCAACGCAGACGTCTAACGCGTGGAATCAGGCCTCGGAAGCGGATACAAAGCTCTAGCTCTGAATGAGTGATCCCAATTGATTGGTACAGGGGGAGGTACGGGAACGACATAACAGATGATGGACATGGAACGAAATCAGAACGAGATGAAGATGGTGGTTCACAACAAGTCGTAACTGAGCAAGTTCCATGAGGATATTTGGGAATCTGTATACCTAGAGGTAGGTATGTCGTTATTCATTTCTACCTGGCTCACGTCCTTCTTTCTATATTTCCGCTGCTTAGAAGAAGGCACACGCTGATATGCGTAGGTACCCGGGAAATACAAAACGACAGTTTCTTTCCGGCCCCGCCAGCTTTCAAATGGAAAAGCCGCGTGCGCGTATTATGTACAATCAGAAGTGTGTAGCGGTACTGGTAGAATCCCCCAAATCAGGCATCCAGTCATCTTCGCAGGTAGAGGTACTCAAACACTTCTTCTTTTTCTCCTCTACACCAACCCCGCGGTCTTCCATTTCTCACTTTCCTTAGCACCTACCTACCTCAACCACGACATCAACAACGCCCTTACCATCTCGCTACCTCTATTCAAACTTGAATCCCTCCGTCGTCTCTCTTTCTCAGCATCATCCAGCTCGCCATCACTCTCCTCTTCTTCCACCACGCCATCCAGAAGACACACTCACCCGCTCCTCAACCACCTCACTCACCACCTCAACCTCAAACCTCAACATGGCCACCAACAAGAACTACAAAGAGGCCCTAGACCAGCTCCGCGTAGCCTGGTGGAACGAAGAGGCTGAAATGGCCAAAGACTTCGCCAACGCCGCCGACCAGGAAGCTTGGCTCAAGCACTTCCACGAGTGCCTGGCCAGCATCAAACAGGGCCCGCTTGCTCCCAAGGGTCCCGAAGACACCACTGGCAAGGCTGCTGGCCCTGCCCCCGCGGTTCGCAAGAGCTGCGGTGTCGAAGTTGACGACGACACCACTGGTTCTCGCGTCGTCAAGATCTTCGAGTACGAGAAACTGGTTGAGTCCTCGAAGGAAAAGGACAAGGACGCGGAAGTGGACGTGGAGTACTGGATCACGCGTCCAACTGCGCTTCTGGTCGAAGTCCCGGGTACGGAGCTGTCGAGGGTGCATATTGAGATTAAGGGCCCTGGCAAGATTCATGCAGAGAAAGCTGTTGCGGTCGTGGAGAGCGGCACTACGCATTCTGGTAAGCGATTTGTTGTTCGCTGTTGTTATGGGTTCGTTGACTGACTTGCGTGCGTACGAATAATAGAGTTTGTTGAGAACGTTTCCAAAGGGGCGATGAAGAACTGAGATGGAGGTGGAAGAAGGGGCTACAGCGGAAGATTAGCGGTGCGGGATGGATGGATGGATGACACGTGATAGCGCTGGGAGGAGATATAGAGACATAAGCAGATTGAGATAATGAGGAAGGTGCAGGTGAAGGTCGTTGTTCTTCCCTTTTCGAGAGTATAAAGCGCATGTGCATACACGTGAACCCGCGAACAAAGTGAATGAATCCCTTGCAACGTTTGTAATATGTCTGTAATGATACCTCAAATGACAACGGTATAATTCCTATGTGGAGAAGCTAACGGGCGGGATTATCACCTTTTGCAGTTGCGGAGCATTAAGGCCGTTTGTTGGAACAGAGTTCAGTTTGCTACTGATTCTATATACCTCTATGTATCTAAACTAGAAAGGCAATCGATGTTAACCCTCGACGAATATAGTAGATAAATTCGTAAGGTTGCAAAAAGCTACCCCTTTATTTGTACTAACCTCTACGTATCTTATTTTTTCTATAGTTATATGTCGTTTTATTTTTACTAGATCTGTCTTCTCTCTAGAATATTAATTGCTAAAGTATTTTAAAAAGTTACTCAAAGGCTTGAGATGGCCTTTTGGGAGAAAAGAATAGCCAACTGGGAGGCTGAACAGGCCTATTGGGAAAGGGAAATAAGCTTTTGGGAGTAGCTGGAGAAGTTCAATAAATATCAGAAAAGTATAAAAATTACCCAATCTAGTGAATATATAGAACTAACTATATCTAAAGGGGTTACAAATGGTTTAAATGTGTGCTAGTAGGTTGAGGACCGGGGGTGTAGTTCCACATATGGACGGCTTTACACCAGGCACCACAAAGTAAAAGAATATGCTAGTGAAGGGTAGTGACACAGCTTCCTTCCACAGATATAACGCTAGTCTCGAGGCACCTCCTGCCGTCTATAAAAGCGCATACTTTGAGCTCTTTCCTGGAACCCAAAACTTCTCCTCTTCTTTATCGAGTAACATCCCTTGATTTAGTGGTCACTGCGAACAATCCGCCCTCCATCTTCCTTATCCTCGGATCGCAGACATCACGCGATTCTCAACAATGCAGCAGCCCATCGAACTCGACGAGGACCTTGCCCTCCGCGAGCTCGAGCTCAAGTGGTCCTTCCAAAAGGGATTCCACGCCTCTGTGTTTGCTGCGTCTGAGGACCCGATTGCCTGGCAGGCGCACTTCGACAGCTGCCTTGCAAAGGCAATGGCAGGCCCGCCCCCGGAGAAGCACGACGACAAGATGCTCAAGTCGCAGGGCCTAGCCCAGTACGTGATCAAAGGACCTGCTGAATTTCATGTCGAGGTCGACGGCGACAGTGTACTGTCCACTGGAGGCTTGGGCACCTGTACCCTCCATGTCATTAGCTCGCCCAGGGTCATGGTCGATGGATTGCACGATCAACGGCAGGATTTTGTCGAAGAACAGTGTCTACTACGACAGGGAGGTCGAGGCGTCCTCCAGCAAGGCCTCTTCCAGCAAGTCCACCGAGGCGTCTTCAAGCACCTAGTCTGGTACTTTGGTTCGGTATCGCTGCGCAGCATGAGCATTGGTGAGGTAGTGCCATGATGTTAGTGCGCTATCAATTTCACGAAGCACCGCGCAGCGACGACGATAGCGCTCAATCTCATTCAGTCTTGGCGCATGCCACCACAACCAAACCTCAACAGTCAAATGCACCCATCAACAGCGACATTAATGGAAATCTGGTGTGCTAGAAAACCGTGCTATAGAAAAAACCGTTATAGAACGGCGATATCCGTGATGCTCGAAATAACCGTACTCCTCAAAGAAACCGTTCTACTCAGAGAAACTATTTTAATAGAATTACTAAGCTCTGATTGGCTGAAATAAGAATAGAGGGCCATATATTGGGTAGGAGTTAGTGAGAGTTGAAGAGACTCCCCTTTTAGGAAGGGACGATGGAAAAGAGAAGGTTTGGAAGAGAGAGAAGGAGAGAGAAGGAGAGAGAAGTGTGACGAACGGCAGTCTGATCTGCCTAAATGAGATAGCTGAAGGTAAGAACTATCAGAGTCGTTCGGTGAAGCCAAAGGGTTCACAACAAGTATGCTCGTAATACTAGTCTCAATGATGATGATCAAGTTGTATTGACTACTGTCGAACTATCTAACAATCTGAGTTCTCCAGCCGTCCCTTTATACTTGTGACTGTTATCCGCCGTTACGGGCTCACTTGTGTTATCGTGAGTCGAGCTCACTCCGTGAGCCCGGCGTTGGCTCACTCCGTGAGCCCGGTGTTGGCTCACTCCGTGAGCCCGGTGTTGGCTCACTCCGTGAGCCCGGTGTTGGCTCGCCAGCGTGAGCCCTGCCTCCGACGCCTTTCCTGTCCCTGCCCTGGCCCGGGGTTACACGAGCTAGCCCTTCTGGGTCGCTTGTGCTACCGATGGTCTGGTTGGCCCGTGTGCTTGCCTTAAGTTCGTAACAAGAAGGAGACGGAGTTTAAAAAGCCAAAGTCCTATCGACTCTACAACTCTCCCAACTTCAACCTTTTCAACTACCAACAATAATAATAATAACAATAATAATAACAATAACGACAACGATAACGATAACAGCTATTATCCCTAGGTACGGCTATATCCTATTTTATTTCGTTAATTAACTTCCATATAGGTAATTAATGTAATAACAATAGTGATAACGATGACGATGGCAATAGTAATAGCGATGGCGATAGCGATGGCGATATAAGGTGGTGAACTTGGTAGATTGGATTTTTGGGGGGGGGGGGGGGGGGGGGGGGGGGGGGG